CAACATCTTTCAAGACTCCCTTATCATTTCCTCTGTAGACATCTTCTATGCTCCTTCCAACAGTCTCGGCTAGTATAGAAGGGAGGGCGGATATTCCCTCCTCAGGACGATCCAAAGCAGCAATGTTAACCAAAGTTGCCACAGCCTCCAAGGCTGACGGAGGCTCACCAATCACATGGAGCCCACAAGGCAAAAGACGAGACTCAATCTCCATGATCTTCGAGTAGACTTTTCCTACCACAGAATCTCTTTCTTTAGCAGAGATCTCTGCTCCTTCATCAGGAAGATCCACATCTTTGTCAAGATTGCACTGTCTTGCAGTGCTGATGATGGAACTCACAATCTGTTGGCCACGGCCTGTATCTTTGAGGGATTGGTATGAGGAAATGAGCTCACTCAGTTGTTTGAGTCCCTTGTAAAGTCCAGCATTTTCAGCTGGTGGGGTCAGATAGCTTATAGTATTCGCATAGCTACGACGTTTAGCTATTGTTGCCTCAGATGGGTTGTTAGCAGCATAATAATAGACATTAGGAATGTTCCCAATGAGACTGTCAGGGAAACAAGCATCACTCATTCCCACTTGTTTTCCCGGCATGAACTCTAAGGAACCATGAGTTCCAAAATGCAGAACAGCATCCGCTCCAAATATTTTCTCAACAAATGAGTAATATGCAGCAAAACCATGATGTGGGCTGGCTGATTTAGAAAAAAGCAGCCTCATAGGATCTCCTTCATAACCAAAGGTAGGCTGAACACCAATGAAGACATTCCCATACTGCTTTCCATATACCAAGAGATTCTCTCCATCAGAGTTCAGATTTCCTGGGGCTTTTCCCCAATTTTCTTCCAAGAGTGTTGCATAAGGAGTTAGGTTCTGATACTCCCTAACACTCATTTTGTATGCAACGTTGAGATTTGGGCTGTTAAATTGAGCCTCTTTGTCATGGATTACATCTTCAATCAAGGCTTCAGCATTCTCTGGGAGGCCTTCAATATTGTAACCATCCTTTTTAAGATCTTTAAGGACAGAGAAAATGGAGGCAAATACGTTAAGGTATGCAGCAGTTCCAACATTTCCTTTGTCAGGAGGGAAGCTGAAGACTGTAATGGCAAGCTTCTTCTCAGCCTGCAAACATTCATGTCATCAGTTATAATTCCTAGTTGAGAAATTTTAATATTTTTGTGACAATTATATACAGTATATCAAGATACCTTTAAAATACAATTAAGAAAACAGGTAAGAACACTAGGGACTGTGGTAGGGATTTTCAGAGTGTACACACAAATGTTAAAAACTGAAAGATTTCGACACTGCTAAGGTTGAAGTAGGTTTTTAATCTTTAAAAGAAGTTTAGTTTACCTAATCTCAACAATGCAGGTGACAAAAAACATAAAAAATGGTGATTATCAAAAGAGCATAAAGGATGGTGCTTCTAACTCGTTGAGCCCTTAGCAAGGTTATACCTCCATTTAGATATTACAAAACAGTAAAAAAAAAAAAAACGCTATTAGCATTCATACGATTACCAGTTCAAAAATCTTTTAGTGCATGAGCTATGCAAACAGGTTGTTCTTAATATGATCGGTGTATTAAAATTGAATTCACCATAAAATATGCAGCTTATCAGAGTATGTGAAGATATTATCATATAAATTATCAAGAGAACCTAGTGTTTAGCTAATTAGTCAAAATTCTGTTGGAAAATGAACAGTTGGAACTCAAGATACCTTTGGTGTCCTCTTCAACTCAGCCCACTTAATTGCTCTAGTGCAAAGCTGATCCACTCTCTTATGAAGGGCATGTGATTTTCCTGCATCATACCAACATCATTACCAATCAGCTCCAGAAGATGATATTCTTGTTACATAATTTTCAATGTAATCAACAACAGGAATAAAAAGATAACAACAAAAGGCAGGACGTCCAAACGAAAAGAAATGACTTAGTTGAAGGCATCTCTCTAGAATATACAAATGAAATTAATCTCACACCCTACTTTGGGTTTGGATCTTCGCAATCCAAATGACATATTACAGTAATGCATCATTAAGCCAATTGTCATATTATCATGATAAAAGAGAAGCTGTGCTACAGAAATTCAATCTTCTTTTCAACATCAAAAAAGAAGCTAGCCTATGATATGATTAACAATCTTTTTCGTTTTACTATATTTTACATTCAATAAAGACTTAATCCATAACATTAATTTGCAGTGACAAAGTCTATATGCCAAAATCAAGAACACATCATATTTCAGGCAAATAAATCAACCTAAAAAAGGATATAAACTAAAGTTGGAAAATGTAAAAACATCGCTATAAAATATAGTTACCTGTTCTGGGATCGCGTCCAGCAAAAACAATAGGTTCCATCCCACCATCAAGCTCAGGAAGAGCAACCTGCAAAGCCACCTGGATAGGGTGCAAACCCAAGGTACTATTCAACCACTCTTCAGTAGTCTGAAACACCAAAGGTACAGCAACCATGTAAGGCACATTAAGCTTCATCAAAGCCTCAACTGCCCTTGGGTGATCCTGCCTTGCTGGGCCTCCAACAAGAGCAAAACCAGTAAGTGACACCACAGAGTTCACCATAGGCTTCTTGGTGATAGGATCAATAAAGAACTTCTCGACGGGGCCAGAGAAATCGAGCCCACCGGCGAAAATAGGGATCACCTTAGCCCCTCTAGCCTCCAACTCCATAATGACAGCAACATAGTGAGACTCATCACCAGTAACAATGTGACTCCTCTGAAGAACTAGCCCAATTACTGGTGCTTTTGAACTCTTAAGCTTAGGACTTGCATCCTTCCTTGTCCCATACCAATTCAAATACTCCTTCACATCATCATACATACAAGGAGCTAAAGGATGCCAAACCCCACTATCCAAGAACAAAACCGGGTCCGAATACTCGATTTTCATCCCTTTCAATGCAGGTACGTAAGACCCAGATATCATCTTCACAAAATTAACCAAATTATCTGGTGACCCTCCTAGCCAAAACTGCAAACTAAGGATGTAAAGCCTAGCATCCTGAGCTTTATCACTAGGTAAATACTTCAATACTTTAGGCAATGTTCTTACTAATTTAAGCATACTATCAGCAAAACCAGCACCTTGTTTTTTCCTCTTAAAAAGCTGGAAAAATGGGCTTTTTGATTGCCCAAGTTGAGACATACTAAATGAACCCAATTTGTTAAGTCTCATTACCTCAGGCATTGAAGGGAACACAAGAACAGCATCCATTCGATCTCGAACCTTCTCCACAGCATCCCTCACCTTAATTGCAAGCTCCTCCACAAAAATTAATGACCCAATAAAAATGTTGGCATCCTCAAGATCTTTACAGAAGCCTTGGTAAGTCTCTTTATCCCTAAGCTCCTCAACTAAGTAGCCAACAACTTCAAAATTCGCGATACCGGAGGTTTTGTTCAGGGTCTGAACTGCAGCTGAAAGGGATGATTGGTATTGAGCTTCTAAGACTACATACACAATTTTTACAGTGGGTAAATTTTTGTTTTTCACTGGGACAATTCGTCGAACTTCTGGTGATATTTGGGTGAATTGACCATTTCCAGCTACAACACACTTGATTTTACCATTTTTGGGTGATCTTGAGGTAAATTGGGTTGATTTTTTGGGGAGAAAAGAGTGAAGAATGTACTTTTTCTGTGAGATTGATGAAATAAGGTCAGTTTTGGTTGATGGTAAGGTAAATGCTGAAGATACCATGGAAGACATTGCTGTACGCTCTGTTCTTCAGAGACAAGCAAAATTTGAGAAAAGTCTCGATTTTTTGTGAGAAAACGCAAAATCTAAAATCTGGGTATAGTTATTTGGAAGTTTAATTGAAATGGGTTTGAATTTTTTTTGCAAATTCTTCTCTCTTTCTCTTGAATTTTTAGAGAGAGAGTGCAAAAAAACACTAAAACTCAAGGTACTGAAACAGAGTAGTGAAGTGTTTTATGTTAAAAGTTTCTGTTTTGTTTCTGTTAGTGGGTGTAGAAGAGGACACGTGTCATAACAAATTAGAAAAAATGGTATGAAAATGTTTTTGAGGTTGAGCTTTGTTTAGGTGAGGAGGGGAGAGAAAGTTAGAGAGTGATAGTGTACTTTGGGTTAGTTTATCTGAATCAAGGGTTTGATGATGAAATTTCTTGGCTTCCTATTGGTTGAGGTGGATTTCCTAAATAAGCCAAGTGGAGATGTAAAATTGTGACTAGATTTTAAAATGATTTTTTTGTGTATTTTGGAAAGAGGTAATGAAAGAAAGGTGGTTGTTTTTGCATGCTAAGATTTTGTGTGAATGTGTGTAAAAGAGAAATTGATATTTTATGAGAGATAGAGATGGGTCCAAGTATACTTGTTCTAGGCCATTTGATGTTGATGCAATACGTAGTCCATTTATCAAGACTTCAAGAGTAAATGTGTACATGTGTCTAGCACAAGAACTAGATGTTGGCTTGCATACAAAATTCCTTTAATGAACAAAATGATAGCCAAAATAGATGTTGTAACATTATTTTAGTGAGCAAATGATAGAGTTGTTGATGTATACAAAAGGGTTATGTTAACATGTATAATTTTAACTTAGTAATTTTAATTATTTTGATGTTGTTGGTTTGTAGTTATAAAAGATAGATAAGTAATTATCAAATTAAGAAAAATGTCTACCAAATAAGCTAAATAGACACCTAAACAGATTTGCCACTACACAAAGCAAACTCTAATAATAAACCAAAACATCCCACTATAACTAAATAATACAACTTTGAAAGCCTTATCCCCGCACATATAATTTTGTTTAACACTGGTTGGAAAAAAAAAAAGGGAAAACATCAAAAAAAAAAAAAAAAAAAAACCTTGCTTACGAGGGAACTCCTAATGTATGAAAAAGAATGGATAACAAATAATATCCTTATTATCTGTAACTAATGACCAATATATGAATTATAACAATATCATCTAAATAATTTTCATTTGGTAAGATCCAAACCTTAAGGGGCATTGTATATAGTGCGTTTATTATAAAGACAATTAAACACACAGATTTAAAACCGATACAGGTTTTAAGTATTCGCTAGGATGTAAGGAGTAAGGACATAGTCTCATAAACTATGCCATATAAAATATGGCCTTGATTTTTTTATTTTATTTTTTTCAAATGGTTTATGATCAAAGGTGCATTATGTGAAACATTATTCATTTAATATGTTTTCTATAAATCAAATGTGTGATAGCTCACTTTTATATATGCGGACTGTGGTGAACTTGAGCAGTTACATAAATGGATTCTTTGTTTAGGTCGATAAATGTTACTTATTGACTTATTGATAGAGATTGATGGTTAGCACTAAGAGCACCAAGTATGATGAAATTAAGAATGTTTTTTTTTTTTAAAATCAATATATCATGAGCACCGAATTAAAGTAAACATTGACGAGGAATGTTCCAACTTTGTAAGGAAAATTGTATCAAAAAAATTAGTGAATCTTGGATTCAACTGTTATGTAGGACAGTAGGAGTTTTTATCTTTCCTTACCATGGGAATACTAAGTAAATACAAGGATACATTTTCATTCATGTTTAAAAGGGTGCAAAACTAAAGCCAAACACAAGGGATTGCAAATTCCTAATAATTGTACTGTCCTACATTCAACCACAGGACCAAATTATGCATTTTAACAATTGTTAAGATTAAGAACTCTATTGCTGTGCATATTACTGTCACTATTCAAGTACTCATAGAAAAAGACTTAAACTACCCTTCGCCTTTCCATTAAAAATAATTATAACCTTAAAACCATGATCACAGATTAATGCATAAAGTTTTCTGTTGCATCTATATTCTATTATTCAGACAAAATTTGAACTGAGGAAAAAAAAAAGGATTACTGTCAGTATAATAATTAACATAAAAAAAAGCAGGTTACATATAATAGGTTGATTTACAGTCCCAAAAAAAAATCATATTCAAAACTAATAAAATCAAGGTAATCTGATATGAAATACAGAATACCAGTCAATCTCTTATATGAACAATCAAAATGAGATCATCTTTAATCATATGCTAAATAACCCTGTGGACAACCTTGAAAATATCCTACAAAGCTAGCCAAAAAACCTCGCTGAAGAAAAAAAAGGTCCTCAAAATAATAGTACGAAATGTACAAATATCAGCTACGGCTACCCACTAAATAACTCATTAGAATCTAATCTACCTCCATGTCAGAAATGGCTTCACTTAGAATTTGCTGAAGTTCCTGCACTCTTTGCTTTGTTAATGCAACACAATCCTGCAGTCAAGGTAAAATCATTAGCAATCAGCGTTAACATTGCTCTTATAAGTGAACAAAAAACACAGTAGTCACATCAAAACTACATTTCTTCAAATATAAGCAAATGAGCATTCGATTATCTTATACCCCCTCCGTATAAAATTAGTTGTCACATTGTACCAACTTCTTAAATTACAGAAGTGACATGATTTTACAAAAATATTACCCTTCATAAATCATCATAGTTGTACTATTTCTACTCTTTCATTGCATAATTTAAGTAGAGGCACATAATGAAATCCAATCAATAAAAATTGCTATTGGGAAGTGGGAAAGGCAACAACTACATCTGGTCAACCTAAAATGGTTGCAAGTCTCCATCTTAGAACAGCACATAAGACTTCCCAGCATATTTCTAACATTATTTTACATAATATAAATATTTAAATACGAAGACGATTAAATGATTGATTCAACAACCCCTCCGGCCTCCCCCCTACCACTAGTCCACTACCAACTGACATAAGCAATTCTTCATCAATTGCTCACGGTTTCTGACTTCTGTTTTGTTACAAAGTCATCAAAACTACAAAAGACTACAAAAAGATTTTCAACTTGCTTTATCAGCTTAAAATATGGTATAAACAAATCAGACACCTCATAATTTCTGATACATAACCAAAAGTTCATCGGTTACACTACTCACTAAACGTCCGTAAATCGGCATGCAGCAAAATGCTCCACATATCAAATAAGTTCACATGCAGCAAAATGCTCCACATGTAATTGTTTGGTAATGGAAGTGGATGTTCCAATCCAAACCAGAGGTAGCAAGAGGAATCTGCCCTTTTCATGGTCCTTCAATAATATGAGAGAGAGAGAGAGAGGCTGTTCAGGGTAAAAAACTTGCCTGGATGGCTGCTGAGTAGGCCAGAACAGGCCCGCCAGGTTTGTATAGAGAAACAAGTTGACCAGATGAATTCAATACCACGGTCACTGAAGTTTCTATAATGGACTCTTCCTCTGCCGTGGGATCAGCTAATATATAATTCTTGTGAAGAACACAAGAAAGTGAGAATGGAATGTTGCTTAAAGTCAGTTTTCTTAGCTCGTTATTAACAGGCTCTCTCTTCGACTTCCCTTCCTCCATCTCCTCTGACATAATAAAGACTCTTCCTTCATCATTCAAGGATACAACTGGGATACGCACTGCAATCAAGAAAAAGTTTTAAATCAGATATGCAAGGTACACAAAATTCCATTTGATTGAACAAGTAAAAACCTAGCACTTGCACTCAAGCCATATACTCTGAACCTATATATACATTTCCAAGGTAGTAAAGTGAAGTACAAGCATTGATTCAACGTTTCAATAGAAAAATTTTGCAAAATCCAAATTATTTTATTTCCTCTTGTGAGACATAGTTAGGCATTAGAACTTCCTGCTTACTCAGGAAGCTTGTTTCTAGGAGAGTTTGGAAAAGGCTTTCTAGTGTATTAATAAGGAGGATAAAGTAAAACATATGGTGTAAAATGTTGGTTAGGTACTTAGGTGTAAGAAAAAGGTAGATAAAGTAATAGATAGTGACTGGAAAGGTGTAAACAGTGTAGGGTAAAAGGGGTAAGATAGTAGAGAGGAATTGCCAAAATTGGAGTCAATTAAGAGTTTAGAAAAACCTCATGACAGAAAGTGAGTTGCAATTTCTGAAACAGGGAGTAGAAAAAATAGTAAGGAAATGAATAAAATTAATTGTGAACCACCTGTCTCACCATGGAAATGCATAAAATTTTATCAGTTTGTGAAATCTCCAAAATAGGAAAATGTGACCATTGATATTAAACGGAGGGAGTATATCGCTAAAAGTGAGATATAAAGACCCTACAACAGAAAAGTGAGAAGGATCAAGGAAATGATAAACAAGAGAAATGGACTGATAAACAGCTTACAATTAGAAAAGGCAGCAACTGCAGAAAGTAAAGCAGCATCAAAAAGAGCGCCATCAGCATCCAAACAGCATATATCCTGGACCAGTAGAAATTTAAAAATAATGTTGATAATTGAAGTCTGAATGGATAATATCATTTAGATCCTAAAATAATCAAATTTATCACAGGACGAAGAATGAGGCAGGAACAAAACAGTTACCAAGTACGCCATCCAAGCAGCTTTTCCACTGACTAAGCACAGCTCCTTCAGATTTATCATCCCGGAACTGCAGAACCCATAGAAAGTATCTCAAAAATCAAATATTTGAAATAAGAGCTATTTCAGATACATAAAATAGTTGCAATAAGTAATCAAATGACACAGCTCTAAATAGCTAAACGTTGGGATAGCAAACATTGAGGAAGAAAAACATTAACCATTCACAGTTCAAATGAAACTTGCAAGTGATTTACAAGCTAATTAGACGACACTCCTACCACCCCATTTAGAAGAGAGGTTATAAAGGTCAATTTCAGCTACCATTAAGAAGCATCTTATAAACAAAAATAAATCAATAGTTAAATTTTGATGTAAGACTCTTAGCATCAAGAAATGTTAAAACCCATATTACTGTCTAATAGATATGGATATCCACAACTCCATAAATTGTGCACATTAGTGTGACTGTTGAACAATATATATTCAACCTTTTCTTTTTTCTTTTTTTTGTCTTTTTTTTGTCTTTTTTTTTTTTAATGTTCAGCTCACTTGACATATGTAGTTTAAGAAAATTTTGAAAAAAAAGTGAAGAGAGAGTGTATAAAGGTGGGCGGGTGTAAGAAAAAAGGTGAATAAAGTAAGAGAGAGTGTTTGAAAAGGTGTAAAGATTGTGGGGTAGATGGTAAAAGGGGTATGCCAAAAATGAAATAAAGTAAGTTGAGTAGAAAAAAAAAAGAACAATTATATAATGGAAAGTGAGTACAACGGCAATATTATGGTAGTATATCATTGAAGGGGAAGCTAAAAGAAGGCCAAGGCCCCCCTAATCCAAACAATAAACACAAGTTCCCCATCCTACACTTACATTAAATCAGAAGTGATATAACTAATAGTATCTGTGCTCCCAGCCAGATTATAAAGACCTCCTATATTTCTCAATTAAGGGCTCAAACACACTCAAAGCAATAACTCCTTTGCCAAACCTAACATTTGGAAGTCTGGTAAGCTACCTTTAAAACCACTTTAATACTGTATCTTACAAAAAAAAATTACCTAAAAGGCACCTATTAGCTCTTCAACCAATCAAAAGCCTTCACCTAAACATCATAAGACACAGTAAATATGCAAACAAAGCCCATATTGAGGGGCAACACACGTCACACCTCCATGCCAATACATCAATCTTCAAAAGAAATGATGAGCATTCTGCATAATCTTTCTCTTACTTGTGCTGAGCAAGTAACAGCTTCTGAGTCTCAATATTGACTACTTGTAACTCGTTCTAACATTCAGCAAACGTCTCTAATTTCATGAGCTAAAACAGAACCTAACCCACCAAAAAGTATGTTGGATAGAAGGCGCCATCAAACAGTCTGAATAGGAGATTTCTCAGTCACCACTCACCAAGCTACCAAAAAACCTGCAAATGGTACTTTGTTCTTTCTTCTAACTAAGAATGACAACTCTTAAATGGTTGAGTGTTCTTATCCCAACCCATAAATTCAAGCTTCTTAGGCAGAGTGGAAGCTATCCAAAGAAAATTTGTGCAGGCACAAATAATGTGAATAAAGACTCCAGTGGTCATGATGACCACATCTCAGGCCACAAGCACAATTTTACACCATTCATGATTCAGCTACTTTAACAGATTACTACTAAATTACATTCCAATTCTTAACCCTGACAAGAACAGCATAGCCTAAAGAGCAGAAGTAACCTTGACAAACCCAATTGCGTCCAGTAGAGTGAACACGTAGCATGACAAACCACACACATTAAATTTTGGACTTATGCAGATCAACCAAGAGGCCTCGCATGGCTAAAAACACCTACCAAAATTGGTCTACTGTTCAACATTTCCACAAGTCTACTAGTCAAATTGAAGTATTGAACCACCACAAACTAGCCTGTAATTGATAATCCTATTCAGACCTTTTGGAGTGAGGAAACTCATCAGCATACGACACATATTTACCTCAAAACCACACCTTTTTACAAAAAAGAGTACGAAAAGACATGTTTTCAAATTGTTAGAATATACCTTGAATCTGTTAGCCCCTTACAAGTGACCATCACTTGTACTGTATAAACTCTCTAGTTTAAATTAGCCGCTATTCAATAATCTGTAGATTGGTTTGTACCTCAAGATCAACAAACTCTCCTCTCGTCTGTCCATGGACGTAATTAACTCATGATCCACGTAAAATATGTGTTCTTGTTTGTTGATCTCTCTTTCTTGTGTTTGTCATAACACAAATGTTTTGACAAACAATGTCATGAACATAATAAATTGTTCATGTCAATCATGAGTAGTAAAACGTCTAAATAGTGATGCCAATATCTCAGGAAGTACAACTGATAGGATGTGTATCAGTATATATGTCGTTAATGCCAATGATGCCTGAGGTGCAACCAAATTATGTCTAAGGTTTAAAATAAACTTGGCAATCAATTGTTTAGAACTAGCAAGCAAAAACCATTAACAGCCATTTAATTACCTTAAAATGGTGTCCGCTAATTGCTTTGATATAACTGGTGCTGCATCGGCTGGCCTTCCAGGCCTAACAAGGGGGGAACAAATAGGAGGCATGTGAAACTCAATAGCTGCAATAACATAAATAGCAATGTTACAAAGATGAAATTGGTCATAAATTGAGCATAAAACATATTTAACACTGAAGAAATGACAAAGATGAACATATGCTAACCTAGGTTACCCTCATCTGGTGACTCCGTTGAAGGAGTCATGATTTCCATCTTGACCGCAGCAAGCATAGTCTGTAGAAGGGACATATGAAATTATTTAGAATCCATAGAAGCCTTTCTATTGAACAAAGTAAACATGATTACAAGGGACAGTCAGAAAATAACTTACAGTGCAACCAATTTTTACAAGTGCAGACCCATTAGCAGATGAAACAGCCCCTGCACAGGTACGTTATAGCATGAGGCGTGCCAGATAATATCCTAGATAAACTAAATAAAGTTATCCACAAATCTCATGACTTAATAAACTGTATTAAGAGTTTTTTATACTTTGGAAAGTACAAATACAAATTTACGGGACCTATCAGGTTGTGCCTAATGAATCGTGAAGAGCTAACATGTTGAAAAAAGTATCAATCCCTCACATAACAGCACTAGAGTCGTTAGTATAAGTATTTTAATTTAAAAAGAAAACAAAAAACAAACAGCAAAAATAAACTTGTAAAAACTGCATATTCAACAACAGCAAATACTTCCCGTGTTTATCAGAATTAACCGGGAGTTTCTCAGGAAAGCACAGCTACAACACATGAAATCAAAAGTTGTTGACTTTAATATAAACAAAACAAAATCAGTGCTGGGAAATATAAGCATTCGATCGAAACCAACCAAGTGCCACAGTTGTATCTCTAGCTGCATTAAGAGTCCTTGCATCAGGTCTTAAGGACTTAACAAAATGCCGTTCATAAAACTGAACAGGAAATAAGCGTCTGAAAGCATCAATCTCCATATCTGCTGACAAATCACTGGAAGCCATTGATGACCCCATCTCAATATTTACCTAAAACGCCCTCGAATCTCCGGACCCTATAAGAAATATAATGGAAATATAAACACAATGAAGATCGTTGCAGCAGAACACAATTATGAACCTAAATTGCTTAGATACAATTCCCAAATACCAAGTCCCATGAAACTATGTTAAAAGGTTATTACTAATTGATACAGCCCAAACAAAGAAACGTATTTAACTAGTGAGTAGCCCGGGCAATGCCCTCGAATTTTCAATTCCCAAATCAACATAACTCATGCAAATACAGCAAAATATCAAAATAAACAGTAAATATGAACAACATTACACCTTTCATGCAAAATTTCAATTATTATCCAAAAAACAGACAGAATTAGACAATTAAAACTCCTCACAAACCCCAAATTTCAACAGTTATCAGATAATTAATACAAGAATATAGCTAGAAATGAGACATTTTAATCAAGTCTTTCACAAATTTAAAACCTAAACAATAGAATAAAAAATAAAAATAAAAAGCTGATTCTCGATTTTTACAGTAGTATACTAAAAAAAATGCGAAGCAGAAAGAGAAAACAAACAAAGACCTGTTTTGATAGTGGAGTTGGCTGCGGCGCTGAAGAGTGGTTCGCCGCCGTAATCACCGGCGAGAAGGAGGAGAGGGCGAAGCGGGAGGGTAGAGTGGGTTTGGCAATGGCGTGTGAGCTACTTTGTTTCTGAACCCAATTCAAAAAAGTAATTAAATGTGTTAGGGTTGATAACTTGATATGGCATATAGAATGAAAGCATAAACACAAAGTTTCAAATTTGGCTGACCACCCTGTGCGATAAGGATTACTGGGGTTATTCGTAGGGATGTCAGTGGGGCAGGTCAAATAGAAAACTCATTTTAACAGGGCGGGAATGGGTCTTGGTTTGGCAGGTGATGGGGCGGGATGGGGATAAAAACCATACCCGCCATGGGTGATGGGGCGGGGGTGGATTTTAGGTTGTACCCGCCCCATTTCGTACCCGTCTCATCCCCTTATCAATATATTTTTAAAAACAAAATTATATACTTTTATACTATTTTATAAAAAAAAAAATAGTAAATATAATACTTTGTAATACACTTATATTATAAACAAAAAAATGTGTAATATTAACAATAATTTTTTTTCGTTTTGCAATCATTATTAATTATGAAGGATTGTGTATTTGAGAGGCGGGGATTAGGCGGGTCGTAGGTGGGGGGTGGATATCCAAGTGGGGGTTGGGGCGGGGATGGTTTTGGAATTGTACCCGCCGAGGCGGAGATGGGAATGAATTTTAGACCCGTCGAATGGATTGGAATGGGGATGAATTTTAGACCCGCTGCGGGGATGGGGATGGGGATGAGTATGAAAATTTTAGATGGGGATGGAGATGGGAAGGCCAACATCCGCCCCCGCCCCGCCCATTGACATCCCTAGTTATTCGGTCGATTAGGGGTTATTTGATCAGGGGTGACTCAGTCAATTAAGGATTATCCAATTAAAGTTTTAGTGTGTGTCAGCCGGCCACAGGGTTTGGTCATCGATACAGAAAACGCACTAAAGCATAAAAGAGATTTTCATTGATATAGAATGATGAATTAATGAGCTTATATGACTATAAAACAAGGATTAAAATATGATAAGAATTAATGTTTAATTTATTGTTGTATACTAAAAATGTTGTTGTATAAAAAAAATTCAATTTTATAATGTACTTCGTATGTATTAGGTATAATTAATTAATCTTTTGATTAAATTTTTGAAAATTTAGTCGGGTGAGATGGGAATCGATTTTGAATCATCATGATTTTATTTGTTTCCCTATAAGGTTGGTATGCTAATAACTAAAGATATATTTGAATGAATTACATGAAAAAATAGCACAACCTTATTGTACTCCTAGATTAAAATGTGTACTGTATTCCAATGTATAAATGGTATCGTCTAATTATCTCCGGAGCTATTGTTACTATTGATGCAATGTTCACTTAAGAATTGGCAATTGTTTGATACACGGTGTCATGGGAAATAAATTGCATCCATTCCAAAAATGAAGCATTAGACCTTGTTTATTTCACCTTATTTTTACTTATTTCAGATCAGATCAGATCAGAAAAAATAAATTATGACATGCTTTATCGATTTATATGTCCATCGCTAATTATCTTTAATATTGTAATGAAAAATTATGAAAATTATGTATTAATATGATACACATTATTACGAATTTAACAAGACCGCACTTGATGTATTTTTCCTTATAAATTAGTGTACATTTAAGGTCAAATTTTAGTCAAATCAGATCTGATCAGAGAAAACAAATTCAAATCAAATCTAATAAGAAAAAATAAGGTGAACTAAACACACACTATTTTTTTTTATTATATATACAAAACATACCCTATTTTAATGGTAAAGATGAAGGTGCTATGTGTTTCGGGGTTTTCTGATGTCCTGCGGGAGAGTTACAACACCGAGACTGGAACCGGCCGCCTGTACCTGCAAAATAACGGAGACTCCTGAGAGCTCCGCCTCCAACGGTCAAGTTAGTACCTGATTAAGGAGTAATTAATACGGAAATTAAAGTGGTTTAGTCTCTCTAGGTGAGAGTGTTTAATGTATAATCCGTGTGTTATTAGAGTTCTCCCTCTCTTAATGAGGATTAAGAGGAGTATTTATAGTCTTGAGAAGCGTGCCACTCTCTAGGTTTAGGGTAAACCTAGGGCTGACCGGGCCTCTAAACAGGATTGGGCCTTGGTGGCCGGTTTTCCCATTTGGCATGGGTGGACACGTGGCGTGTCTCAATTGGTCCGCAGAGGACGAATCTGTAATTGACACGTGGCAGGCTCCTATTGGCCTACGTGAAAGACACGTGGCGGAACCTGGTTGGTCCACTTGTCAGACGGTGATTGGTGGATAAAAATCCCCTAATCATTTGCCCCTCACAGGTGGCACGTGACTGGTCACGTGTCGCCTGTGACAGGTGTCGCATGGTGACAGGCGACGGCCTGCTGCAGGTGTCACCTTGCAAATGGCCGAGAGATTTTCCCGCCCAAATTTTGAATTTGGAAGCGACCCTTCGCCTTCTCACTTTGCCTATATAAGGAAGTGCTGACTTCGGTCATTTTTCACATTTGAGAACTTCGCGAGAGAACATTCGGACCCCTGAACTTGCTCTGACACTTTTGTTGCCTACCGCCTGCTCTGACAAGCCGTTTGCAAGGGATTTCAGAATTTCATCAGTCGTCACTCGTTCAGGTAACCGTCGGTTCTCTTATTCTTAATTTTTTTTCTTATTATTATTTTTTGAAATGGCACCATGGAAGCACACGACACGACCTAAGTTAGTGATCAGCCGGTCACCGGGGACGGCTGAATCTAGGACTAGGAGTGCCGCCTGCCCTTTTCTGGACCCATCTTTGCCCTTTATACAAAGTCCGACTGTATCTGTGTCTATGCAGAACGTGATGGCCAGAACAAAGAAGACTGCTAGGATCTCAAACTCGGACGGCTCCTCCCAAAGGGTGCCCATTAGTGAAACATCTGACCAAGCGCCAGATGTAGAAAGGAAACAAGGCGGCTGCCAAGCCGACAGTTCTGAGGGAGGGGGCAAGGTGGTCCCTTCCCATTTTACCGTTGATATGTCCAACTTTTCTCCTGCTCCTTCTGAGGGAGAGGAGGCGGGCCCCTCTAGGAGAGGGGAGGAGTCGTCCTCTTCGGACTCGTCAGAGGACGAGTCCGAGTCCAGCTCTTCTGGCCACGCTTCTCCAGGCTCAGAAGAAAGAAACAGCCGCCTACAAGAGGCAAGGCTTTCTCATGCAGTTGAGAAGGGGAGCCATTGGGCGGAGCCGTCCGCCTCTTACAGAGAGGAAAACACCCCCTACTACTGCACGGTACCCCGGGGCCGGATCGCGGCCATGAAGGACAAAGTGGAGAGCTTTATAGCTAACCACAGAATGGGCCCCGGATTTTTACTGTTCGTGCCGGATCCAGAAGACACTGTCGTCTGGCCGGCTGGTACCAGCTATGATAGCGGCTGCTTTGGCTGCTATGAGGCGGCCATCAAAGCTGGACTGCGCTTCCCATTACATCCGGCTGTTCAGCGGATTTTAGATGGGTATGATTTGGGGTTATGGCAGTTAGCCCCCAACTCTTGGGTAAACGTACTCGGCTATGTGGCCGGGTGCGAAATGTACGGGGTGGAGCCAAGCTTCGAGGCTTTCGCCCACATGAACTATCTCAGCCGGACCCCTAAGTCGGGCGGTACCGGCTGGTATCAATTAACAAGCCACAGGGGCTACCTCATGACGAGAGGTAAGGCGAACAAATGGAAGGATTGGCGGAACACCTTCCTTATCATCGAGGGTTCAGACACGGAGCTGAACAAACGCTTTAACAAGTGGAATAGGGATCCGCCTCTTCTCGCAGGCGGCCGCAGCATGCCGCCTGTTCCCCCAAAGGCTAAAAAAGAGATCCTAGACAAAGGACTCTTCAAAGTAGAGACTAGGGTGAACTCTACTTCAGGGGTACGAGAGCAAGTACCCCTGAACTGCGTCCCGAGCTTTAAGTGGCTCTATGACGAGTATTTTTTGGCCGCCTGTGGCCTCAGCAGTCGGTGCTCTAGAGGTAGCCGGCCTGACAAATACTGTTTTTCACGCCTTGTTTACTTGAGATTTTTACTAACTTTGTTGTTTATTTTTTGCAGCTGACGCCATGAGTAAAATAACAGCATCCAAGACTGCGGCGGCCATGTTGCGGGCCTCTCTCATGCAACAGTCTTGTACCGACTCCCCCAACAAGGGGGCACCCTTGGTAGGCCTCGAAACTCTTCCTCTTTTAGGAGTTGGCTTATGCATATACTAACTTTTTTTTTTTTTTTTTTTTTTTTTTTTTTTTCAGTCGGGCACTCCAAGAGCTTCTTCCTCGCAACAGCCGGACCCCAAGGCCCGGAGGACGACTGTTGCAAGCTCTCCTGGGTCTTCCAGGAAAACAGTGGCGGCTGAAAAGCAGCCGGCCACTTCTTCTAAAACTCCGGCGGGGCCGCCTAGAAGTATGGACAATTACTTGAAAAAACTCACTTGCTTTCTTCTTGACTAGGTCTAACTTGCTTTTTTACGCTTGATGCAGCCGGCCCTCAGGAACCTGACTTGGTAGAGGTAGCCAAGTCCATTATCAAAGCAGTTCCTCCATCTGAAAGGGAGGCGGTCAGGGGTGTCGGCACCCTTGACCTTGATGGGATTGCAGGGGTCCTTGCTGAGGTATACTTAGCATTTTTTGTATTTGAGTTCCAGGACGCCTGTTATCTTGTTTGGAAACTGACGTCTGTTCCCTTTTTACTTAGGCCCTGCTCCGAGTGAACGGCCTTCGCAAGCCGCTTGATCGGAAAAACAAAGAGGTAAAGGCTGCAAAAGCTATGGCCGCCTCTAACTGTGATAAGGCAATGTTTCAAATTGCCCAAAATGAAGTTCTGACAATTGATATTCTTTATTATCAGGCGCAGGCTGCCGCCGCTATCCGGGCTCAGTTAGAGGCGGCCCAGAAGAGGAACAGCGAGCTGGAGGCGACCGTCTCCAACCTCAAGGCCGAGCTTAAACCTCTCCGCCAAAAGATACTCTCCTATGATACCATGGAAAAATCCTTGGCTAACGTAAAAGAACGCCTGGTGACCCAGGAGAAGAGTCTAACGAAAGAGCTCTCGGAGAAGGCTGATCAAGAGAAGAGAGAGCTCTCGGAGAAGGCTGAGCAAGAGAAGAGAGAGCTCGTCCGAGAGATGATTGAAGACTCTTCCTAGATCCAGCGCATGACCTGGAGCCGCCTCTTCCCCAGTGCCGACTTTGCCTCGTGGGAAAAAACGTACCGCCAGTGTTCTGAAATATATAATCAAGAGATCCTGGCGGCTGCTGAGGACGAGGCGTTGGAGGAAGCCTTGGTTGAGGATGAGCCGGTTGTGGCGCTTGTGCCACTTGGGGGCAAGGCATCGAAAAAGGATGCAGCTGAAGCCGAGTCCAGCAAGAAGAGTGCTGACCAGGCGGCAACTGCTAATACTGAACTGTCCCCTTCTTAAGCTTTAAGTATTTTTTCCACGGCCTGCGTGCCGTTTGCTTTGTATTTACCCGGCCAGGGGGCCGGGGTTCTGAATATTTTTATCTTCATTAATGAAATCATTTTTTGCTTGGAATTTGTCTGTGTTGAATATTTGATATTGCATTGTACACTATATCGACTGTTTTGCATGGCCGATTGTAGACAGGTACGGATGGTCCGCCTATGCCCCTGGACGACTGGTTGTCTGTTTCCAAGCTGGGCGATCAGTCGGCCATTTATTCAATTGGTCTGACCAAGTAAATAGTATTACCTAGTCGCCAAGGAATTAAGTAGGATAACAAACGGCGGGTACCGGTTGTTTCCCTTTATTGCCAATGTTGGCTTTTAACTCGTAATTTGTTAACCTAGCAAGAGTAGTGGTTGAGAGCCCCTGTTTGTTAAAAACAGGCGGACGACTCATACCTTTTAGGCTCCATACTAAGTTTGAGTGACTATTAAGTTAACATAAGAGTTACTTAGTCTTCGTCACAATCTAGATTGAGTAGTAGAGGTACCAGGCGGCGGAGGCCGGCTGATTTTCTTGATTTGCCAATGTTTGTTGGCTATTAACTCAATAGGTTACCTAGTAGGAATAGGGGTTTGAGTGCCCTTGTTTGTTTAAAACAGGCGGACGACTCAAACTTTTTAGGTTCCATACCAAGTTTGAAGGAGTGACTATGAGTTAACGTTGGAGTTACTCAGTCGCCGCCACTTTTGTTTGAGAAGTAGAGGTACCAGGCGGCGTAGGCCGGCTAGACCCCTTGATTCGCCAATGTTTGTTGGTTATTAACTCAATAGGTACCCCCTGCATTTATCCCAAGTAATACAGGCGGTCATCTGACTCAGACGTCAACTGCTACCACTGGTTTGGTTAGTGATAGAGTTATCCTTGTCTCAAAAAAGGCTACGTGGTTGCCCTTGGGGACAGTCGTATAGGTGCCGTGTAATTAGTTTATAGAACAATGTTCCACCCAAAAGGGAGCTGCTCTCTGCGACGAATTTCATCCGGAGGGATGCCGTCGGACGCCTGCTATGATGTTGGGACAGGTCGTATTAGTTTTGTAAATTGATCAGGTTCGAGGAGTATCACAGGAGGCGGATCCATTACGATTGTGTTGGATGCCTTCTTAGCTCAGTGGTAGAGCACGTGGCTTTTAACCACGTGGTCGTGGGTTCGATCCCCACAGACGGCGCCAAAATGTTTCGGGGTTTTCTGATGTCCTGCGGGAGAGTTACAACACCGAGACTGGAACCGGCCGCCTGTACCTGCAAAATAACGGAGACTCCTGAGAGCTCCGCCTCCAACGGTCAAGTTAGTACCTGATTAAGGAGTAATTAATACGGAAATTAAAGTGGTTTAGTCTCTCTAGGTGAGAGTGTTTAATGTATAATCCGTGTGTTATTAGAGTTCTCCCTCTCTTAATGAGGATTAAGAGGAGTATTTATAGTCTTGAGAAGCGTGCCACTCTCTAGGTTTAGGGTAAACCTAGGGCTGACCGGGCCTCTAAACAGGATTGGGCCTTGGTGGCCGGTTTTCCCATTTGGCATGGGTGGACACGTGGCGTGTCTCAATTGGTCCGCAGAGGACGAATCTGTAATTGACACGTGGCAGGCTCCTATTGGCCTACGTGAAAGACACGTGGCGGAACCTGGTTGGTCCACTTGTCAGACGGTGATTGGTGGATAAAAATCCCCTAATCACTATGTATGTTAGATCTACTATTGAATGAATAAATTGTCGAACTTATAAATTTTTATATTTGTAAGAATCCAAAAAAAGTAAACTAAGTGATTTCGGAATCATGTCAAACGGGGTATAACAACGACAACAATTGAAGCTTTAATCACAAAGACAGGTCGACTATATGAACCAAGATTTTATATCTTGTACTCGTCAACTATGATCCTTTCGTTTCATTTCTCTTTTTTCAATGTCACATACTTTTACAAACCCAACTTCCTTATGTCCTTAATTCCTTCCATTCAAGTCGTCTTTGGTTTACCCTTCTTCGATCTCTTAATCCCAAATCTCTACTTCCCTTAGTGAAACGTCTTTCAATCTTTGTTCGATATGTCCAAATCAACACAATCGCTTTCCCTTGTTGACATAAAATTCTTTATAAGACAACATTATCTAGGTTGAGGACAAACTTTTTAATACTCTCCATCCTATTTTAATTGCCCTATTTGACTGAAAAGGTTATACGCAAAATATTTTGTTTTCTTATCAAATAAGCCAACACTTTGTTTGGGTAGTATTAAGGGAAGGAAAAGAAGGGGAGGGAGGTGAAGGGGGTGAAGGGGAGAGAAAGGAAGATTGATGAGTTTTCCTTCCAAATCTCTCCATTGTTAGAGGGATCATTTTTTGTAGAATTTAATCCCTCCAATTCCCTTCATCCCTAATTTGTTATCTAAATAAAAGATATTCACTCCCTCCATTTCACTTCCCTTCCTTTCCCTCCATTTTCTTCAATCCATATACACTGCAAGTAAAATGGGATGAAAGTAGTATTACAACTTTTTTTTATAGAAAAAGTAGTTTTTCCGTCTCAGAATAGCTAAACTTGTTATTATCACAAATTTCTTAAAGTATTATGTAATTCTATTTATTAACTAAACATTTTTTTTAAACGTTAAGATACGAGGAAGGGCTCCCAACCCTATCACATAAATGAGAGATGAGACATCGAACACCATCACTTGGGGGGAGATGGAGGGACTAAACGTGTCTTATTCCATCTACTTGGCAAAAGAGCTAGTTGTTAGTCATGCACTAGTGTAAATTAAACTTTGGTTGACTCGAGTTGAGTCCCTACCAAAACAAATTGAGGTCCCGTGATTTGTATAGGAGGCAAGCTAGTTCAAGTCATTGCCAGTTTTGGACACAACTAAGCCAGGAAGGAGGGCATCAAAATTTGATCAAACCCCATAATCAATTTGAGACAATTTTTTGAAACTTACTTTGAAGATTAATAAAAATCAATTTGTTGGTAATTCAAATCTATAACTAATTAAAACCGCTACATCATCTTGATACACGTGTCAATTTTTCATGAAAAAATTTCCCACCAAAATTATTTTTGACAACATCCTATTTTCCTCTATTTTTTTTATTATTTTTATTTTTGTCATTCCGAATTCAATCATGGTAAAATATTTTTTAAAAAATTAAATAAAAGTGTAAATATCAATCTACCAAAAATGCATTAATAATTTCTTATCTTCCAAAAACCTTATGTTATGTAAGTTTTCAATTTGTTGCAAAATTAATTAGTATATACTTCATCCGTTCTTTTTTTATTGCACCATGAGGGATTTCACGCTTGCCAATGCATTACTTTAGCTATTAATATCTTCAATTATACTTTTGTAAAAATTATAAAAAAAAATGATATTTAAAAAGTAGATTTCGAGACGAATCTAACTAGATCCCACATGACTATATTTTTCCTAATGGATAAATCACAAATGATGGTCAAAGAAGATTAAGAGAATAGTGTAAAAGTCCTTATGGTGCAATAAAAGAAAAACCGAGGAAGTATATTTTATTGAAAAAATAAATTTTAAAAATCTAAATCATGCATCGTACGATTACTAATCTAGGGTTTAACATTTTAGAGCATTTGTTAGGGCCAAATATACAAAATACTAAAAATAAGTTGCTTTTTAATCAGTACTTGGATTGCAGGTGATGGAATTTTGCACACTGAAAAATGTGGAAAAATGTGGAATTTTTGCAACACTGAAAAATTGCATAGACTCTTGGTTTTGTTGATGGTCCACCAAATTAAGACCTATCTTCAGAAGCATTTCAACAAGGACAAGAAAGTCTGAATTGTAATTTTATTGTCAGCTGTCCATATGACTCCAGTATAAGAAGCCAATGTCATAAGCTCGGAAAGCTGAAGTTCCATTACATGCTATAGCTCCTCCATTGATAGCATCCCGGATTCGGATTTCAGTAGGCTAAAATTAAATCAATTCCTGCATCAGGAGAGCACATCTGAAAGAATCATCCACTTGAAATGCAGTACGGAGTCACTACTGTGTCTTATCAGATGAAATCAAACAACTCAAACTATATTGATCACTGAGACTAACCTGTTAGAACTCTAGAAAGGAGTTGCAAATTTCTGAGTCCAAAGGAATCAGTAATCTGGAGGTTTGTTACCAGTATTCCAGCAGTCGACCATTTGGAAACTAAATTGATCAAATTTACGCCACCAGCAACATCTTAACCCACATACAAAGTAGTAAGGAAGGCAATGCTGTTTACCTTAATTACACATATTGCCATTACAAATAAAAAATTTACATCAGATTGAAGGCTTGAAACAATTGGATCAAAGAATTAATAAACAATCCAAGACCTGGTGTTGAATAAACTTTGTTCATGATTCGCTTTTCAGCTGATTTTCAACTGCTCTTGCTGAAGTAAGCTGTAACTGCCTTTAATTTACCATTCAAGTAATTTTTTTCCACTTCGAGTGACCATGGAGTATTAGAAGATAAAGAAAGTTCTGCTAGTTGGACAATATCAACATTTCTAGGCAAGAACATGATAATCAGTGAGGCAGTTGCCTTAAAAGTGTTAAAAAGATATTGCCCATCATGTGGCTGAAGCATGCTTATGTCATAAGACTGCACTTTGAGATAATCAGGCCCTCCCCAAGGAGGTGACAGAAAGACCGTATCGGCCTTCAATGTTGGTGCCACAGAAAAACTATCTCCATTGATAAAATCAATTCTGCCTTCAACCCCATAGATGGATGCATTATGATGTGCATAATCAATTTTCTTCGGATCAATATCAATAGCAATCACATGTTTACTTGTCTTTGCAAATTGTATGGCATTCCCACCAACACCGGTAAAGCAATCAATTACAACGCCACCACCAGAACGGGAAGCATGATGTCTGGCTATAGCTTCTGGAGTGACAGAAAACCACCCTTCTTCATCCATTTGTATACCAACATCAAATTTGGAAAATAAAAGATACCTTTGACACCAATATTTGGTTATATCTACATAATATTCTTCAGCAGGTTGAAATTCATGATCATCATTATTGTTGAACGACTTCTTCCTTCTTCGATTTCTTCTTTTTGTCTTTTGTTTGGTAGCAGCGGGTAATCCATTTGCCTCTTTCTCTAACTTTCTTATTGGTGCATGATTGATGAGGTTATCATCACATACTGCTGCTTCATCAACGCTGCTCAAACTGCTTGAATTTGACAATTGAGCTATTAGATTGCCACTACAGTCTCCATTAGCATTCTCACAAGGACTGTCAACAGAGTCATAGTTATTTGACTGAGACACGCTAGTGGACATGCCACCAGAACCCTCTTGCTCTCTTTCGTTTTCTGGATTCTGATAAGGATTGATGGTAGATAGTGAAGAACTAGATGTAATCGCAGTCTGATAATTTCCATCGAGCACACGGTGATCATATAATTTCACCGCATAGGATTTATCAGAAAGCATTACCGAACTAGATGATAAATCCTGAGTGGTGAAAGCTTGAACACCAAACACTTTGTCTTCAGTACGTTCATCAAAGCGTACTTTATCATCCAATTCATGTCTATCTAACTGTTCTTCATTTTGAGAAAAAGCAGGATCAACAACAGCGCCAATCGCTTCTGTATTTGACTCATCACATGTGTTAGAGACATCACCATAAACAAAGCTTTCCATCCCAGGGGGTGGATACCATGTGGACTCTTCGGTTTTGCTGTTATAAAAATAATATCTCATGTAAAAAGAATCCCAGAAGGCATTCCATTCACCAGAAACTGTACTGGAACTGAAGTTGCTATTAGCATTATTGTCAAGAACCATATCAGAGTCTAAAGGCATGCCAGCAACCTGAGTCTGTTCAATACACATACTGGAGCCAAGGTCATCCAATTGCATAGCATTACCCAACTGATCCCCCTTTGCATCAACTCGTTCCATCAAACTTCTATCTATTTCTTTTGGATGCTCTATGATACAATCATTAAATATATTGCGTCCACAACTTGTATTCCTCTCCAACAAATTTGATGTGGCAGCTATAGAAATATTATTTTCCATCTGGAAATCAGTCTCCAACAGGTCTTCAATGAGAACTTCACAAGACATATTTCTAGGTACATCAGCCACAGTAGCAGGCTGCTCCCCATCACTAGAATTAGACAATCTAACAGTGTCATCAAAGACATCAAAGCCAGAACAAGAGAGTTCAGCCTGATCTGGCATAGATAAGGAAGATGAACTGCTTGATGTATCTTGAAACTCTGCATAAGTTTGGCTCTCTGCATTTGGATTAGGAGATAGTAGAATTCTCTCCTTGAGCCTATTCTGACTATCTTGATCCTTACGCTGCACTAATTTATGTTTTTCCTTAGACTGCACACTGCTTGGCTGTAAAAATTAAAAATATTCAGAATGTGTAACTATTACCATTACAAAGAAAATCTTTGATACAGTGGTGACAGCATGCAATTTCCATGAACAAGATAAAGAAACAATACAAATTGAATCACAAAAGTTCCCCTAATGAAATAGCATTAGATAATTGTTTGAGTCTCACCTCGGACACCATTACACCCAAAGAAAACCATACAAGTACTTTACAGTTTTTTTTCAATGTCTCAATCCAATAGAATCTTTTTCCTAATTTTAACATGATCTCTTACAGGAGCTGCAGCTATGCCCAAGATCATGTTTTCGATGGAATGCATTTGCAGCTGAATAAAAATCGAACTATAATTGTAATATCATCTCAAAAATTTGACATCTGGTATTTAATCTTCACGATTATCCCACGCTGCCTGGTTTTAGTCTTGCTAGGCATATGCCCATATGATATAGAAATTTTTTTTATCCACCAAACCACTCGTTCACAGCACAGGCAAAAGGTCCCAACTTTCTACTTAAATATAACTCCTTATACTCCAATTTCAATGTGCTGAAAGAACAGTCTATTTTAAAATAACATTAAAGGACATTTTTTTTATGGTACTCCTACATAAGGTAATCTAAGTAAGACCATTCTATCAAGATACGAAATGAATAAGATTAGCCAAATATACAAACATGAAAATAAACAAACAGTGGACTAGAAATTCAGCAAAGTAAACACAAATCAAATAAAGGTTTAAACTTTGTACCAAAAAAACAATGTTTTAAACTTCAACTTACATGTTTGCTAGTTTGGAAAGTGAGAGGTAGCCCAAGTGCACTCATTTCCAAGGAGATATCAACATCCTCCATTACAACACTTTCTTCTGATAACAAAACAAACCATATCATCAATAATCAACTCACTAACCATAATTCATGCACTTGAAATTATGAAATCACTAACCCAAGGTTTCGATGCTCGATTTCGAGCTAATTTTCCCACCATGATCATCGTCGTCGTCGTCATCATCATATTTGAATCTCTATTTAACATCACAACAATTAAGCAAGCAGATTAAAATTCAATAATTGCTCATACAAAATCTCAAATTTTGAACACAAATTTGAAAATGAAAATCTTACGATGTGTTTAGGACATGAGGAAACTTGTCGATTATCATCAATTGGAAAACCATCATCCCTAAATAAGCATAAATTCCAAGTCAAATTAAATTCTGATTTTTTTTAAAAAAAAAAATACGACAACAAATGGAGAAACAGAAGGAGAAAGATAGTGAAAATTACAGTAAGAATACTTCGGTAAGCTTGAAGAGAGAACCTAAAGCTTTGATTGCAGGTGAATCGAGATCAATTTCTGAAGCATTCATGGCTGCTTCTTCTAGTTTTCGAGGTTTTAGGGTTTATGTAATTTGATTTAATGTTTTTTTCAATTGGTTTCAGGAAATTTAATTTTCCCTCTCTATTTGGTAATGTTAAGCGGGCTGGATTGAAAGGTAATTTGATATTGGCAATTCATTACCAAAAAGGGCCTCATCGTTTGTAAAGGACTAATCCTGCTCACAATTATTTTCATACACACTAATGGGGCGTTTGGTTAGTGTATTTTTTGGACTGGAAACAGATTCGATTAAACCGATATTGTTATCGTGTGTTTGGTTTGAAGGTATGGTAACAATTACCTTTACTCCTCATTTGTTACCTCTCAAAAACTTGGGGGCATATGGTTCGGAAAAGGAAATGGAGTGCAAAGGAAACAAATAAGAGTGGGGAAAGAAATCAGTTAGCTATTACCTTTTTCATTTGTTTGGATTAACCATGGAAAGGGTATTTGTTAAGAGGAGGGTAAGGGTATTTGTTACCCCAAGTTTTTGAGAGGTAACAAATGAGGGGTAACCATTACCCTTAAGTAAGGTAATTGTTACCATGTCTTCAAACCAAACACACGGTAACGATATTGGTTTAATCGAATCCGTTTCCAATCCAAAAAATACACTAACCAACCGCCCCCTAAGAAAACTAAAAAGGTGTTACAGAGTAATTCAAGACACTAGGACAGGTTTAGTTGAGTCGAGTTTAGTTACTTACTAGATGAAGCCCATGCGATGCACGATTTGTTTGTATTTTTTCAAATAAAATATTTTATTAAATATATATTTATCTACTTCGTAATAAACTTTGTGATATTTCTTTGCTTACTACTTGAATTTTTTAATATAAAATGAATTATTAACTTTGTTTCTCATATTTAGATAAATTTGTAATATAAAAAGATAATATTTTATTTCATAAAGTTTCATATGTAGCTGATCACACCGTGTGGTCAGGATTAATTAGTCAGGAGTTACTTGGTTGATCAAGGGTTACTCAATTGATCAGAGGTTACTCGGTCAGTGTTTGGCTGTGTCTCAGTCGGCCACACGATATGGCCAGCCACACAAAAAGCACGCTGGTTTTATTTTTATAATTAATATAATATTTTTGATCTAAAATAAATTGCAATTCTTTTTTTTTTTTCATTGGCTAAAATGTAACATTTTCTTATTTGACGCTCTAAAATTAATTTTACGTGGCATAATCCTATTGTAGCGAGTTAAAATTATTAATCCTACGTGGTGTTTTTTTATACAATCCTACGTAGCGCTTTAAAATAAAACTAATCTTACGTGGCATAATTCGATTGTAGTGTTTTAAAAATATTAATCCTAAGTGGCGCTCTAATAATTTTTTTTTAAAAAAAAAATCATACGTGGCGCTCCAAAAACTTGGTAAAAAATCCTAAATCAAGTACCACCTATATAGGTTAAATCCTAAATCAAGTCAATTTTGAATTAGTATGAATCCAGTGAGAAAATACAAGTTTATCTTTATGATAAACAAAAAAGTGTTTATCTAATGACATTGCTGTAAATAAGTCATCAACTTTTATTAAATGCGGGTCCCACAAATGTTGATTTATTTACAAAAATATCATGTTGACTGGGATATTGTGTTGATTTATTTATAAAAATGTCACTAGATACGATTTTTGTTACATGAAAATAAATTGGGGCAAACTCGAATCCTGTCAAATTGGGTGAGTTTATTTTTTATTTATTTTTTTCTATAACATCTTCGTTAGATGCTAAGTAGAGTTGCCAAAAGTTGAACCAACAATATTTTCTCAAAATAAGAAACAAAATTTGTTTCTCAAAAGGTTAAATTTCTAAAATTAGAGACAAAACCGCTAATTTAGTAAAACTGGTACTTTCAATTGATGAATCGTAAACAAAAAAAAAAAAACTGCATTTATTTACAGCTTCCTAACTCTACAATCAAACAGAACTCGATCGTTCATAAACTAAAGATCGGCTTCAAAGCAAACTTTGTGCCTCTCTTCCCAATTCCACCCAGTCAGACCAAGGGAGCGCAACACAATGTCCTGCGGTAAGCCATCCTGCCAATCAGGAGGCTGCAGTAACTACGACGACGAACGACCTCTCTCTCCCACCAAACCTCCAATCACCACCAATGGCCGCCGCCAACCCCCCTTAAACCCTAACACATGCGTCAAGTGTAAGCTCAACGACGCCGTTGCCGGTGGTTCCGGCGGCGGCGATGACGGCCGTTTTTGCGCCGACTGCTTCCGTGGTTCTCTCTTCGGAAAGTTCAGGTTTTCCGTCACTTCTACCGGCATGATTTCTCCCTCTGATAAGGTTCTCGTCGCTTTTTCCGCCGGCTCTTGTTCTCGGTAATTTTCTATTGCAGTTGTTTCTTCATTGCTTAATCACAATTTATACTTTTTAGTAGAATACTAGGATTCTATAATTTGTGTGTTTTTGCTAGCATAATTGAAGCTTGATATTGTTGGTGAGTTGAGTAGTAAGTATTCTGATTTTATATTTGAGAGAATTGAGACTCAAGTCATGTAAGTGTGGATTTGGTTGTGGATTAATAGTGATTTAAAGTTTGCTGATTCGAGCTTAAGCTGCTAATGAACATATTGCTTTGCAATCTTTTATTTAGGGAAATTTTATCATGAGCACTACAGAAATGATTGAAATCAGGAATTTCATTCTGTCTCAAATTAGAGTACTTGACTACTTGGACTCTAGGGTATAAAAACTATAAATGTTGGCCTGTAAATCTAGTAGTGTTCGTGCCCATCTAACATAAGCCTGAACTTCGACCACGATGAATAGAGATGCATTGAACTCTTCAAGATTTTGATTATATTAGTTTTAGCTTGTTATGTCCTGGATCATTAATTGGACTAGAGTTATAAGTTTGCTTTAAAACAGGGTGGTAGTTTCTACCCTACATGATAAGCAGTAAGAGCCCTAGGAGATATCTTTTGTGAAAACGCTCCGGTGCTGGTTTTCACTTATAATATTATGGCGTTCGTTGATACTAAATGCTAAAAGTAACATATGACTGAAGAGGTTAGCCGATCGCTTAAATCCCTAGTATATGTCAAGGTTAGCAGTAATAGAAAAAAATTGCTAGTGTTATTTTCTGTTCTGAAGAAGAATGATTATGTTCCAGGGTGGCCTTAAAATTTGTCCATGAGATGCAAGATAAAGCTCAAAAGAACTTTGAAGCGAGTAGGGATCGATCTCTTCCTGTGTTTGGGGTGGGGGTTGTTTATATTGATGAAAGCTCAGCTCGGTGTGTTCCAACTGCTGAAGCAGATGCAGCAATTCAACATATCAAAACTGTTGTCAGTGATCTTGCCACGCCAGAAAAAACGTTGCACATTGCTCCTCTTGAAAGCATATATGCCTTAAATCCTGCTGATGGTAGAGAGAGGCTGAGAATGCTTTTAGAAACTATCAGTGATAATACCGGTAAAGAAGATTTTTTGACGCATCTTCGTATGCTATGTCTACAAAAGGTTAGATACTGTTTGTTATCATTTGCAGCAAGTTTTATCATGGCGAAATTGGTTTTTTAAAGCTATTTGATGGCTGTTGTGCAGGTTGCCCTGGAAAACGGGTACACTCAGTTGGTTCTTGGGTCTTGCACATCGACTATTGCTCGTCATGTACTTTCAGCCACTGTTAAGGTTGGTCTTTGTCATTTTGATCAGAGGTCTAAAACATTTTTGAATCTTAGCTTAATCTAATGGGATTTTTTAAATTCTTTTGTGCATTTATTTTGTTTGGTGCAGGGCCAGGGCTACTCCTTACCAGCAGATATGCAGTATGTTGATGCAAGATGGCAGGTGCCTGTGTTGCTTCCACTTCGTGATTGTCTTGCACAAGAGCTCAATACTCTTTGTCAGCTTGATGGGTTTGTTAACTATATTCCTTCAGTGTGCTTACTTTTGCTTAAGGACCTCTATGTGTTTATAGGTGCATATCATTCTCTTTCATGCTTATGACTCTGCTGTTCCATTTTTGACAGGGCAGATTAAAGACACTAGCGACAGTAAATGGTCCTCAGTCTGGAATCAATGCATTGGTTTCATCATTTGTCTCGCTTTTACAGGTTAGAGAGTTAGGTATCTGTAATATTTCATGAGCAATTAGCATGAATCCTATCAATATTTTAACAGATATTCTGCCCATTCAGGAAGAAAATCCTTCTCGGGAATGCACAATTGTGAGGACTGCTGGAAAGCTTACACCTTTCAGTTTTAATAGACTACCAGATGTTGATGACCCTAAGGCACGTCTAGCATCTCAAAGGCGTCAAAAGAAATTTAATATCAAATCAGATGAGCACACTCCTCCAGAATCGTTCTGTTTACTGTGCAACAGCCCGCTTCATGCTTCTGACTCCTCAAGCTTAGGCATTTTTTCTGGTGAGCAGCAGAGTGCCGAGGCATTTGGAGCGACTTGCTGCTCAAGTTGCAGATACCAAATACTTCCTGATGACTCATTGTCTATGGACCAGTTCTATGCATTCTTACCCCAGCCAATAATGTCCAGAGCAGCAATCAGTGACACCTCCAGTAACCATGCATTGCTAAGGCAAGTAACATCTAATTGCTTTTTGTGCATTAAATATTGCATAGTCAAATAGTCTATTGAAATAGTGGTTAATACTTTGCATATGAGCTACTGTCATACTGTGCGTTTTTTGTGTCCTTAAGTGTGATTTCTGGTTTGGATTAATTAGTTTTGTTGTTTGGTTACTTTATTGATTTTTTTTTTTTCTTCTTCTAGAAAGTCATTCATCTTAGGAACTCTATTTCTTTTCAATAGGCATGGATTGGATGCGTCTTATGTAACGAATGGTCAATTGATGACAGGCCTGGGTTTTTCCGAGTGAATAAATTGAACGCTCCTCTCTATTTGAATTTATGAGTGCAGGAAAACCTTATGAGTGTAAAAACATATTGATGATCTTGTATATTAGGGGTGAGCAAGACCGGGTACCCGGTCATATTTGTAATACCCGGATCCGGAACCGGTTATAACCGGGTCCCAAGAATTGGAACTGGTCCCGGAACCGGTTAATACCGGATCCAAATTTTTTGGAACTGGTCCCGGACACGGTAGGAACCGGTTCCAAAACCGGGTACCCGGTATTATTCAACGTAGTAAAATACTGTTTTTTTCTTTATAATTGTTATATAATATATTATTATATATAATGGAATTTTGCAGGCTAGTTATATTAACATAATAATATCCCTAAATTAGTTTTGGAGGCTAGCAAAATACAAATATTTCAAAATACAAATATTACAAACTAATAAGCCAAAAAGTACCAATTCAACAACCTAAAATATCAGTACAACAAACTTCAACAATGCTGCAAAGTCCAAACATCCAAACATAACCAAAACAACTACTTAAATAAAAGTTCAGAAAAAAAAAAAAGGGAAGAAAAGGAAGGGCAGCAACAGGCAGCAGCTGAGCACACCATCAGCAGGCAGCAGCTGAGCACACCATCAGCCAGCAACAAGACCAGCAGCAAGTCAGCAACCATCTAAGCAACGGAGAAAGACAGCATACAGCAGACAACAAAGCAAAGAGGCAGCAGCCAACAAGGAAGCACAAATTCCCTATAAACAAAAGCCAAAATGTCCTTAGAATATTTGTCATTTGATATCTTTTCATACAATATAATTAAGAATACAATTATACAAACCTTTGTCACATCAATTATTTCCAACAAATTCATTAACTTGTGTGATGCCAGTGTCACTACCATCCAATTCTAAAAAAAACAGTAAACAATATAAGTAATAAACTTAGAGAAATAAAATAGATAAATATACAAAATAATAGAAGTATTAGTGTATTACCTTCTTCATATTTTTGAACATCCTCAAGGAAGCGCTCAATATCAATGCATACATTTGACGCCCTTAACCAATCTTGAGTACAAACTAAAGCTTCCACCATATTTGGCCCCAAACTACTACGAAATTGATCAAGTATGCGACCCGATGTACTAAATGCGGATTCACTAGAAACCGTAGAAATTGGTATAGCCAAAATGTCCTTAGCCAATGTTGACAATACTTTGTATTTGTCACTTTTTTCTTTCCACCAACCCAAAATATCAAACATTTCCCCTTCAACCCTTCTCTCCCGAGCTTCTTCAAGATAATAATCCAATTCACTTTTTTCAACAATAAAATCACTTTCTTCCTCATCAAAATCATCAAAACTTTTTCATTTGCTCACTATTTGAAGAGCTCAAGTTTTCAGAACCATTATCCACATTGGCAACATTAATATTACGATTATTCTTGGAAGAGGAAGAAGCAATAATAGCATCATAATGGTTAAATAACTTCTGAACATTGTCATACAAATTGTCACAAATAACATCGACTTTGGCAAAGTCGTTAGGATAAAGTTTTTTAAAAGAATACTTCAAAAACCTAAGCTTATATCGAGGATCTAAAACAACCGCAACTAACATCATGATATTAGTTTTACCGAGATCCCCATAATACTTATCAAACTTTTCCCTCATTTGTCTACCCATAATACGAATATCCATATTTGTAGAGTTTTCCCATTCTATCAAACAACTTAACACCTCCAAAACCTCGTGAAAATACAAGTTTGTAGTAACATATAAACTACCCGACATTTTCTTTGTAGACTCATAAAATAATTTCAAACACAAAGACAACACTTTAGCATTTACCCAATCTTCTTGTGTAGGTACTCCATCCTTGAGTTCCCTACTAAAATCAGGATCATCTTCCGCAAACCTATTAAAAGCTTTTTCAAATTTCAATGCGGTTTCAAGCATGAGAAAGGTAGAATTCCATCTAGTTGCCACATCAAGACAAACTGAACCTTTACAAGAAACTTTAACCAACATAGAAGAGTGTGCAAACAATTTAGCTCTAGAAGGTGAACTCCTCACATATCTAACAGCAGCACGAATTCGAGCAATCGAAGACTTCACACTAGATAAACCATCTTTCACAATCAAATTTAGAACATGACAAGCACATCTCATATGAAAAAATGAACCCTCCAAAACAAGTTTATCATGAAAATGTGTTTTCAAATATCCAACCGCCACATCATTTGAACTAGCATTATCAACAGTTAAAGAAAACAATCGATCCTCAATCTCCCATTTAAGAATACATGCCTCCACAACTTTTCCAATTTCCTTACCTTTATGACTATCCATTAATTGAAAATTTAAAATTCTTTTATGCAACTTCCAATTATCATCAATAAAATGAGCAGTCAAACAAAGATAATTAAAATTTTGAATGGAGGTCCAACAATCAGTTGTTAGTGACACTCTCGATTTCAAACACCCAATTAATTTCTTTAATTTTCCACTTTCACAAACAAATATATTCTTCACATCTCTTGCAACTGTAAAACGTGAAGGTATATGAAATTGAGGTACAGCAACACTACAAAAATACCTAAAACCTTCACGCTCAACAATAGAAAATGGTTGTTCATCAACAATAACCATTCTTGCCAAACCAAGTCTACAAGCAGTTTCATCAAATTTCCAATTAGAGACTATAGTAGCATCAGATTCAGGAGACTTGTAAACAGAAATGAGTTTTTGCTTTTTGTCTACATTTGGAGGGTATTTTGAACATGCACCAAGGTGTTTCTTTAATGAAGAAGTTCCATTATTAGTATTACCTGTTAGCATTTTCTCACAATATTTGCATTTGACTTGAACAATTTTTTTGGTTACTGGATCTCTAAAATCCCAAAAATGGTTCCAGTATTCAGACTTCCTCTTGTCACCAACCTTGGTTGATTTGGTTGTTGCATTCTCGTTTCCAACCTCACTTTCATCATCCATAGGGACTGACGAATTGTCGGTATTGCTCATAGTTCTGAAATAGGAACAAATTAAACTTTAATAAGACATAAACATTACACAAAGTGAGAGTGATTATATGCATTACACAAATACATACAACAGTCAGAACTGATATTGTCTCACTCACATAAACACAAAGAAAGAAAGGAGAGACAATATGCACAGATCCTAGTACATCATCTTCATGAAGAATACAAAAAGGAATTGGAACTTAATAAAGAAAAAATGGTAATTAATCTTATGAAAAGAAGGTTCCTTTAGTTGTTGAAACACTTTCTCCTCTATAAAAACCTTTTAAACAAGCAGAATTCTACATAGAAATCCAACTGTAGTTCCTGCACATGCATCACCATCTACATCTTTCTCCACAACTACAAATTTCAGAAAAGACCAGCTCAATAAAACAAGAAATAGATCTGAAAATCTGAAAAAACAAGGTAAACCAATATCATGATAACTAGATTAAAAAAAAAAAAAAAAAAAAAAAAAAAAAAAAAAAAAAAAAAACACTATTGCAAAGATGCAAGGTGAATGTGATCAGAAGATGGGATTGTAGTGTAGTGTAGTATGATTTTTTTATTTAATCATTCAGTCAGGAAAAAAATTCAACAAAAAATTTTTGAACTTTGGGAAATATCTCCTCTAAAGCAATTTTTCCACTAATCCATCGCAAGTGGTAAAAGCCAAAAGATAGAACATTGAGTTATTGACTCTGTTTCTTCCAATGTTTTTAACTCTATCAGGGAGAATGCAAGCAGCAAACATAACATCATTAAAACGAAACCCCAGTGTACCCACCTCATGTACTGAGATCAACACCACAATGTTAACAGCCAAACAACAACTTCTATAAAAGCAATGACTGAACTAAACATGTACAGCAACTAAAAATGGTACCCACCAATTAATACTCAATAAGAATCTATTCAAACACCCAGAAATTGCAGAAAAAGACTATAAGTGCAGTCAATTTGTACCAATTCATTGATTTCAGCATATTAAACACTCGTAACACCCTCAGAAATTGAAGAAAATAAAAATTAAAATTAACATAAACACTCTAACTATCTCCAAAGAAAATGCAAGCAGCAATAAACAGTACCAGAGATCTACATATGCAAGATGAAACAAAAAGCAAACAAAGTGAGAAAAATACTTACGAAAGAGACAGTCGTTCGGTGGCTTGATGAGAACGAAAGAGAGGATGAGATTTTGAGTACCAAGAGAAAAATACTTACGAAAGAAGACCGAGAATCAGTGAATTGATGAGAACGAAAGAAGACAAGATGAGATTTTCAGAGGAGAACAGAGAAGATTGAGAATGAACAGAGAAGAACAAAACCCTAGCAAAAATGAATTCAATGAAATGAGGAGGCTTAGTGGCTGACAGAAACCCTAGCAGAAATGAATTGGATGAAATGGGCCTAATGTTGTATTGGACTGTGGATTGTTGGGTTTTTAAAAAAAAAAATAATTTTTTATAACTAAATCAGTACCGGTTCCGGGTACCCGGATTGTCTGGATCCGGGACCGGGTACCCGGAACTGGAATTGGTTTAAACCGGGTACCCAGTGGGTACCGGGTCCGAAATTTTAGGACCCGGTCCCGGAACCGGTTACAACCGGGTCCGACATTTTGGACCCGGTCCCGGAACCGGTGGGACCAGTTCCGGGTCCGGACCCGGCGGATCCTAACCGGGTCCGGTACCGGGTACCCTGGGTCTTTGCTCACCCCTATTGTATATCAAGTTATCAACAGCTGCCATGTTAGAAATTCATTCTTTGGTTAGGTCTGAGAAGATTCAGACCTGTGTTCCCTTAATCACTTGAAAAAAAATCAGATGTCAGGTTTGTTTGTTGTCTTGTTTGTTTGTTTTTTAAAGCTCCGGGGGACGCTGTGTTGCCATGTTGGGGATGGTGGGAGGAGCGGAGAGGAGAAGAGAACAATTCGATATTGCCTCTTGTTTTTGGTTATTGTTCCTTGGGGAGAGGCACGCTTAGCTCTTCTTCCTTTTATCCTGTTGATGTTAAATGCTGATGATCTCAATGACCTGTATGCAGGGAGCAAATCCAGGATTTTCTACTTTCAGATAGTGAAGATGGAAGCTAAGCTCGACAAATTAGATGGATGACTTGGCTCTGCACTGTTTGTAAAAGCCTTTGGTGATGCGATTTAGATGTATGATCAGGTCTCACGTCTTATAACTTGCTGTTTAGTTGACTGGAAGATGTGCAAAGCCTAACAAGGTGCTGGCTACTAATGACAAGCTCCCTATATTGCTTGGCTTGGCAGCATCAAAATTGTATGCTCAATCGTTATGGAGTTGATTCAACTCTAGCACTAGGAGAGGGTAGACCTTCAAAGTACAGTGACAGTTTTGAAGCAGAAATAGCATTGCAGTATCCAAAAGTTGGTGTTTCTGCTGTAGCTTGTATTTTACTTATTGCAAATTTGCAATCTATTTGTGATTCATTTCTGTTCTCTAGATTATGGTTTTGCAGAAACTAGAAGTTTACTAGATTATTGCTCAATTTTGATAATCTTGTATGATAGATCAATCCTCTGAGATGGGTAATGTCGATGCATTAATTGTAATTCTTCTGACTATTTTTTTGAAGTTAAGGGGAGCCTATTTGAAAGTATTTTGAGGTGAGAATAACGTCATTCAGTTATTCAGCATATTACTCTCCTTGAAGTTACTGTTTCTTCAATATGATTCTGTATTGAACTAGAATATTAGTTACGTAATAATTTCTCTTTTTATCAGTGGAATAATGTGTTTTGATTAAAATGTAGAAGGAAATTATGGAGAGGAAGAAACAACTGGCAAAATATATTGAAAGAATGAACAAAGTTTTCATCAGTATATAGTGCTATTGTGACAAGAGTGTGAATAGTATAATAGCCCAGAAATAAGATGATGTGCAAGATAATAATAAATCAGCATCGAATCACACTTCCCAGACCTTATGTTGTAGCAATAAGCAACTCTTTCCTTCAATTTTATTTCCATAGATTCCTTCAGAGCAAGCCAAGTTTATATTGTCATCTTTCCTAACCTCTGAAAAAAAACAGAACGAAGAGTGGAGCCATTTCCTTCTCCCTTCACTCATGTGAACTGCGTACAAGTATGAAGAGTGCCTTCACCATTCAACTACCGAAAGTCGATTTACTTGATTCAGCATGAAAAGAAAGGTGCTATGGTAGTTGTATAGCTTCTCTATGTTCTGAAGATATGTGATTTGAATTCCACATGAAAAACTTGGATCTCTAATCAGTATTACTACAATACTACTCTGAATTGCAACAATGAAATCTTTCAGGGTTGTCTTTCAAGTAAACGAAACACATTTCCTGCAATGACCAAGATACAAGGTTTTGCCACTCGCAGTTAAAAACCACTTTGTTATCTAACCTCTCACCATGCTTCAATCTGTAAGCATTGTTCAAAAAGGGTCAATTAGAATGAAAAGGATAGATAAGAAAATTACCGTCATTAGACTAGCTATTTGTTACTTGAACAAAGCAGATTTCATGGGCTGCAGATAGGCTTAAAGGGAGACCAAGAGCATCAAATAACATCCACAAATAATCACAAGTATACAGTAAGTTAAGCTGACAAGTAGCCTACATATAATGCGGTTTTAACAGAAATTACGATGCGTGATGTGCCAGGGTGATAAACTGATAACAAGTCAAGACTGGGGTATCCCGGTCCCACTGACTCAAACTTGATCAACCTAAGCTCAAGCCCGAGTCACGGGTTCCAACTAAGAAAATAATCTTTCGAGTTACTAATAGTTTGTAGCTAATATTTAGCAATGTTATCAAGTGCTCTGCTCATTAGTAAAATCTACTCATATATTATACTGCCTCCGTAAAAGTGTATATGCTCACAACTGCTTAGCTCAATTAAGTCTTGAGCCAAGCTTACCTTTGCCAGGCTTTGACCAAGGCAAGCTTGAGTAGCTTGCAAGCATGCTAGGTTCATTATTACCTCTAAAGGTGCCTACAATGGAAGTTAAAAAGTATCATGTTGTAGCCTGCAAGCATGCTAGGTTCATTATTACCTCTAAATTTGCCTACGATGGAAGATTAAATGTATCATGTTTAATCCAAAACTAAAGGCAACTTTTGTTCTAGTGCAATCATGAAACAAAATAGCCCCCCAAAAATCAGCTTGGGAATTGTACAGCAACAAAATCAAAGCCTTGTTTCCAAAAAAATGGGGTTGGCAGCACGAATCAATAATACATCTCATGTGGTCGTCCACAAAGATCCTCTTCATTTGCTGCTATCTAGTGTTACAAGTTCATGTAAACCCACTTCCTCCGTACATGCCATTTTTAACTTCATCCATTCAAGTCAGCTTTAGTCTGCCTCAACTTCTTTTGAAATCTTCATAATCCCAAACTTCCACCTCCCTATAGGTGCAAACTCTGGCCAACTTTTCACATGCCCAAACCCTATGTTACTTGGACTCGAGTACCCATGTCCGACATGGACACGTGTCCAAGTGTCCGACCCTGCTATTTTGTAAAAAATTTCAATGATTTTGAACTAAAATGAAGTGTCCAAGTGTCCCACCAATGTCCAAGTGTCGAGGGTCCGACACGGGTACGTGAGGTGAAATGAAGAATCCGAGTAACATAGCCCAAACCAATGTAGGCAATTCTCCCTTACCTTAAGCTCGATTACTCCAACATTCTTTTGAATATCTACATATTTAGATATTCAATTTCTCAGGGTGTTCACACACATCTGTCTCACTATAAGCATCGTTGTTACACTCATCTTTTTAAATGCCCACCAGTATAAAACCAGTCTAATTGTTATCCTGTAGACTTTCTCCTTTAATTCTAACCAATTGGCATGCTACGGTCGCATAATAACTTAGCTGCCACACTTAATTCTATGAATCACATCCTGATCAGTGTCTATATTTCTTTGTAAAATTGATCTGAGGTACTCAAAAAACTTAGCTAATGACTATCTCCTTACAATCTTATGTTACAACATCCTCACTCCTCTCTCTTACCAAAAGGAGACTAGACTGCTTGAAAATTACTGGTTCATAGAAATATTCAATAAAACAAAACGTTGATAGAATATGGATGTCTCCCAAAATTTTCTTATCCTTGATTTTCAAGGAAAGAGAGGGAAGGAGAATACATATATTGAAAATTTCTTAAACAGGAACAGATTCTTCACATTCAGATCTGATGCATTCTAAAAAAAAACTAGTAACTGGAGTAGATTTTTACATATTCTTGTTTCAATGTAATCTATCAAAGAACAAAAATTCAATAATTGATATTCACTGACCTGCTGCTTCTATATGTTTTTCCGCACCACACCCTTCTCTAACACTTTTTCCGTGGTTTCACAGTCTTTAAGTAGCAAGCCTGTAGACTAACCATCGACTTCAAAACCTCAACCAGCTTTGCTTCTATTTCTCCCCCAGATGGCTCAAGAACTCTCAAAGCTCGAGCAACAGCTTCCATGGTACTCATGCACCCTTTAAAAGGTTCCTTCTTCAGGATGAGATCTGAATCATATATGGTCCCACCACCAACCTCAAAATCACAATCAAAACATACACGAGTAGCAAATTTTGATATAAATGGGAGACTCGCAAACATCATCTCCTTAGCATGTTTCCAAGTACCGTCAAATACAATTAAAACAATCCCATTTGTGCACGTACTATTCAATGATGATCTCCACTCATTAATTTCTATCGAAGGCATCAATTCCGTGCCTACATTAAAAAAAATTAAAATATTAATCGATGGTGAAGATTATGTAAATCAATTGCAGTCCACAGCTTTAGTCAATTCCACTTGATCCATAGATATATCTTTTTTATGTACAAAATTTGTTGAAAACCTTTGCATAAACCATAGTATTATACATTCCTCACAAAAATCAACTCAAAAATTAAGCACAAAAGAAATATGAAATATATAATTTGTACAATCTTTTTATTTTTAACCGATGTTCCTTTACTGCAAACGGTATATTGGTTTTATGCAATTGAAACAAGGCATACTTTGATTAAACGACAATATCTTCCATTATGTTCATTTGTTTGCATAATATATTCTTCTAATGAACATGTTCATAAAGTTATAAGATATGTTATTTACTTAAGCAATCACAAATACGAGTAATTATTTCAAAAGAAGCCGCACAGCTAGCATCATGCACTCGCAAAGTCGCATCCACCTATTGAGACATTCCCTCAAATTAAAAAAATGTAACTCAATTAAAGCAATGTCGTGAGAGAGTGAAAAATACTAAAACTACTTATTTTCGAATCATGCAAGACGAACTTGAGTTTGGTAAGACCGTAAGACTAGGACACTAAGATTATCTAGTTCAATGCCATATAACTATATAAACATTAATAAATAAAAAAATTATTGAATCAAAGAGTCCAAATTACAAAATTCACAAATTCCATACTACACAATATACATTCTCTCACCAAAAATTAACTCAAAATTAAGCAAAAAGCTATACCTGGAAAGAGAAAGACTGCGCGACGAATAGGGTCAAATTGAGCTGAATCATTGATTCCATGATAGAGAGAATCAAGGGTTTGCGAGGAACCTTCGCGAAGTTTCCGACCAACGATGATTTCGCAATTTTGGAGGCATTTTTTGACAACTGGAACTGTTGCTAATTTTTGGCGTTGTTCGTGAGGATGTTGTAGAATTACTATTTGGGTGGTGGTTGATATTGGATTTTGTGGTATTTTATCGCACAGGCAGACGTTCACCGGGCGGTTGCAGCCGCCGGAGCATATTTTCCGGCGTGTTTCGTCGGCGTCGGTGAGTGTTTGTGTTGCAGTGAATGGGAGTTGTTCTTCCATTTGTTGAGTTATGTCGTCATAACTCATAAGCCCATTTGTTTTGAAATGAAGTTTTGGGCCAAGTTTGTAACTTAATTCCTTTTTTTATATATATATTTTTCTTTTTCAGATTTTTTATTTTAACTTTTTGTTTTTAAAACAATTTTTCAAATATTTTTGAAATGAATAGGGCAGTTAACGCGCGCGATGCACGCCTCATAGCTAGTCGTATCTAAAAGTTCTTTCGGTTTGATGTTATTAGTATCGTTAATTAGTGAAAATATGTAAACAAATATTTTTAGGGGTATAGATGTCCACACGCTATTCTTAAGAGTTCAAAAAAAAAAAAACAATTAACATTAATGAGGGCAAACATTTTTAAGGCATAATAGTCTCACATTCTTAGCACTGTTCATAAGCGTTTACTCATACTTTTTAAAAGGTAGGGATGCAAATTAAACTTGATGATAGATAGATTGATTAGTAGTTATTTATAGGAGCGGGTCTCAGTTTCTCTAATTGAATGTTTCTCCAATGACAAAATTGGTAAATAATACTATTCTTTTGCTGTCGACTCACCTTCTTCCTCTCGTCTGTAAAGAGCTAGCTCCATTTCCTTCTCCTTTCTTCAACCTTCCTTTTTCCTTTCTCATCAGCAATGGCGGATGAAGTCCAACACCACAACAAAACACCATGTTCAACACCACAACAAACCTCAACCCCAACATTGTACTCGTGCCAATGCATAAGCTGTATCACTTTAAGAAGGAAAATAATACTCCCTTCGTATTTTATTACTTGCTCCATTTCTTATAAGCACGTATGTCGATGCAAATCATTGATCAGTAATATCTTTAATCATCAATAACTATAACAATTGAAAATTAATAATCTTTTCATTGAGATGATTCCAACAAGTATCTACAAGACTATAATTTTCCTTACATATAAATATTAAACATTAGTCGAAGTAGGTCAAATAAATAGTGCGTGCAAATGGAGCAAGTAATATAATACGGGGGGAGTATTAAACTTTTATTTATTATCTTTATTGAATTTTTTTGAAAATATTTAATTACTCGATTGATATTGATTGAAGATAATTTCCCATTTTTTTCTCAGTTAATTGATATGTTACAAAAAGTATACTGTAATAAATTTTGTTTGTGATATGATGAGGCAAATGAGGTGACACTATGAGAGAGGAGTATTTGGGTTTTGCTCTACCCTCATTAACCCCCACTTTGAAATATCAATATAGATATAGATTTGGTTAAATCCGATACTTTTACATACTTATCCTCACACTTTGAAATAATAATACAACTAGCTTAGGACCCGTGCCATGCACGGTTATTACTAAAACTTTATTTATTGTTATCTTAATCATAAATAATAAAAAAAAATATAGCAATATATATCAACCTTTTTATGCAAAAATATACATCAAGCTTTATTTATGTAAAAATATACATCAAGCTTTATTTATGTAAAAATATGCATAAAAATTTGAGTACAAAATCAACAAAAATATCATAAACCTTTACAACACAATAAAAAATTTATAATAAATTTTGTCGATTTGTACTCAATTTTGTATGTCAAACCATGATAGAATAAATACATTTCCTTGAATTTTATTAATAAATTGTTAAATAAATTAAATTATCTTGATTATCGATTATCGATTAATTTTAAAACTTTGAATGATTCAATATTGTTTATATGAAAAAAGTACAAATTATATGATCAAGTAAATATAAAAATAAAACATTACTTATATATTTGCATTGCAAAGTTTCATATGCATCTTTTATACGTTCTTTTTAGTGTGTGTATTTCACTATGTGATCCAACATGTAATATACTTTATTTAAAATTATATTTAATTTTTAATCATATTAGATATAATCTTTCTTTATGGTGATGATAGTAAATTTTGCTGACAAATTAAAATTGTCATTTTTATGTATAGAATTTTATATGTATTTGAAGATTTAATTAAAAAAAATTATATTAGCAATATATGGAATAGTATAATTTTTGGTGATAATTTTGACATATTTTCTATAATACAAATGATATGAATCTTTTCTTTTTTATTATTACATGATAAAACTATGATGCTTAAATAGGAAGGTTATATTATAATAATATGTTAAATATTATTCTAAGAAGATTTGGGCTAATAAAAAATGGCATTGGAGGGAAAAAACAGAACCAGAAAGTGACACATGTCATTTTTGGTGTTTGTTTTAGTATTATGTAAAATGTAATTGATATATAAGAAATAATATGTACTCCGTAGGATATACAAAGTAAAAGATATAGAACAATATGTAAAAATAAAAAAATGGAAAATATGTGAATATTTTTTTAGAAAGTAAATCACAATTATATGATTTAGTGAATATTTTTTGTAAAGGATGTGAATCAAAATTATTTAAAGAAGTGAATATTTTTTGTAAAGGATGTGAATTAAAAAAAAAGGTTTTTGGAGGGAACTAAACAGCACCAAGAAGTGACACGTGTCATTTTTTGTGTCTGTTTTAGTATTATGTTATTGATTGATTGATTATTCTTATTCCTATTTTCAAAGTAAATATTATTTCGTACCATTTACCCCAAAACAAAATTTCTCATTTTAATCCCCACTAGAGACACTTTGAGTAGTCTACTATAAAAGGACTTTGATCGTATCTCAATTTCCTTTTTTAAGTAGACCTTAATACGGAGGGAGTATCATGAAGATCAATTTGTATATTTCTAACCGCTTGTACCAATTTCACAAAAATATACCAAGTTAAGTTTTGTCTAATGGTAAGGGTTTCGACTTCTAACCTTAAGGTTGGGGATTCAATCCTCACTAGAGACACTTTGAATGTGGGGATCCCTTATCCTTCCCATTCACTCTCAAAGTGTCTGACTCACAAATATCGGACCAAAAAAACCGTAAGGATTGGGGTACGCAACATGTTTTAAAATACCCAAATACAATTGGCCAATGGTATGTCGAAACGTTTGGGTCGGAACAGGTAAATTGCGAAAATCAAAAGCGCAACACAGCTGAAGTTTCCTTTCCTTTGGCCTGGAGAACATTCCTGGTTGAACTGAGTCCAGATTTCAATGGCTTCGCAGCAGGAGACAGAGACATCCCAGTTTGATCACACTCCGCTTTACTGGTATTTCATCTCTATCTTTTTCAATTTCTGTAAATTATCCGATTCCCTGTCAATTTTATGCATAATTTGATCATTTGACCTTGATTTTACTTACTTTTTTTCTTCTAATTTTCTCAAATGTAGTAGTATAATGTTTATTAATTGATTTTTAAGATTTATGAGTTTCTTAATTGATTCATTATGCTGAGAATCAGACGCTTTTATTTGATTTTTGCTTTGATTATTTGCATTTGTTATGTTATGTAACATTGTTATTGGTCTGATGGTTGTTCTCTATCATATATGCACAATTGTAGTTATATTTGCGGTTAATTTGACAAATTAGGGAAGAAATTGGTATCAAAATTAGGGATTTAGGGATGTAAATGTGCTGATAGAAGCCAGTTCTGGACTGTTTATGTTCGTTTATTAAAATTAACTGAGCTTGAACATAGTCGAGGTTTGTTCATGTATTATTGAGCGAAATCGAGTTGGTTCTCGAGTTCTAGGTAATATTTAGATATGTTTTACTTGGATTTTTTTGGTTGAATGATGGAAGGATAAATTTGTTAAAAATATCATAAACTTAGTTTAGATCATTAAGTATGTCGTGTTTGACCAATCAAATTTCACAGGGAGGACAAATTTAAAATGTAAATGTACTCTTATAATGCAAGTAATTTTCGTGCAAATTATGTGATCATTATGCAGCCAAGTTGTTCATGAACATTAACTAGAAGTGTTCAAGATGTATTCAATTCTATGCCGAGTTAGAAAAATTGTTTTTAAGATTTATGAGGAATTGATGAAAAAACAGTTAAACACTAATGACTTGAATTCCTAAACTGTACAATACATATTACACACAAGTAACTCAAATTTTAATTATTGAATTACAAGTAGCATGCATTTCACTTAAAAATGAAGATTTTTTTTAAAATGACTCGCGTGTCGCATCTAACTTGAAAAATAATTAGGAAAAAAAAATGATTGGATTCTCCATTTTCATATGAGAATTTGAGATGCTTGTTCTATTTAGTTTAATTGTTGGAAGTTTAGGTTAATTCATATCTTGTGAATTTGTGATTCATCACTCTCAGTTGTTTTGATTGATAAATTAGGATGTTATATTTAATGTTTTTTATTTTTATTTTTTTGGCTTATTTCTTGGATAAGGTTTTGTATAAGCAAGGCTAAATGATACAAAAAGCTTTCTATGGAATAGACAAGGTTCATAGGGGAAGGAAATGCCTATATATGCTTTATTTTCCTTTTTCTAATCCACCTTGAATGGGAATCGCTCTTGGGGAATTATTAACAATTTAAGTGTAATCTACATTCTAATGTCCTTAGTAATGGAACCTCATCCCTGAATGTGTGTTTTTCTTCATAAATATCCTTTAACGCCCAGTACCACCCCCTAATGGTAATGAGTGATTATGACGATTTTTAGAGGAAAAGATAAAAACTGGGGTGAACTAGCATTGCCATGAGAATAAACTATGATTTTTCTTACAAATTGAAATCCAAGCTTATTCCCATTACCACCATATATAACCACGAATAAATGGGCTTTAAAGAATATCAAATTTTTTTATTGTCATAATTTGCTCGTGTTACACAGTGTTTAGAAACTTTATGACATTTATATAGAAGTATAGATCTCAAATTTTTATGATGGAACTTCTTGGAATCATCAGAATATCTAGCAGCTTCTCTCTCTATCTATCTATCTCTATCTCTCTCATATTTATTTATTTATTCTTTATTTTGTTTTTGGTAGCGAGGAGAATGTGTACAGGCTTTGCAAGAAATTAAGTTCAACTGGGGTTGCAGATACAGAGGCTTCTGATCTTTTTGTTGTTTTTATATCTAATGATAAGAAACAAGTATGTTTAACATTTTTACTTGGTCCATTACTCTCCTTTTCAGTTTCTGAAACGGGCTCTGATCTTTATTTAGTACATAAGCCCCTTGTTATGTGTACAGTGGATAATGGACATGCTATTGAGTACATTTATTTTAGTTGTCTTAATAAGTTGCTCTAGTTGCTTATAGATTTGAGATTATCATTTATCATCATACTTAGCTGAAACCTGATGTTTAGACTCAGTTCAACTATCCATGTTAGATACTTCACACTCTGAATGAGTATGGAGTTATAGACACTTCATTATTGGCTGAAAATGAGCCTCTCTCTCTCTCTCTCTCTCTCTCACACACACACACACACTCACACACACACACCCACACACACACACCCCTACGTGTGACACTCATATGAGTCAAAGCATCATCATAGGCTGTATCTTTTTCAACATGTTATCATTAGGTACTGCCTTACTGAAGATGAAGGGAGATTTGAAGTGTTTATAATGATAGGTGTTGATTTGGATGTTCGCTGTAGATTCCACTTTGGCATCAGAAGGCCAGCCATAGGGCTGATGGGGTTATTCTCTGGGACTACCATGTAATCTGCATACAGGTGATATTTTTCTTTCACAGTGATTCTTGATTGACATTACTGCTTGAGAATTTTTATTTATTTGTTTTATATATACTATTTATATATATTTATTTTTTTATGTAGGGGTGCTGCTTCACCTCTCTACGTTGAGGATTGATTTTGAACTAACATATTTACCTCCTATTGCAGAAAAAAGAAAATGAAAAGCCTCCGCTAGTATGGGATCTGGATTCTACTCTTCCATTTCCTTCTCCTCTAGCATCATACGTTGCAGAAACTTTTCGTCCATCATTTCCGCTCTTTTCTGAGTTTCGAAGGTGTGCCAATTTCCTCTTAAAAGACTAGCTCCCACTTGTTTCTATTTTTTTTTTTTTTTTTTAATATTATAGAAGACATTCAATAATATGGAATTATGCACCAAAAATGGCCAATATAATGATTGTTCTGAAGCAGTTAGATTTTTCATTTTTCAGATTTTATCGAATTGTACATGCTCCCATATTTTTCCGCTGTTTTGCTTCTGATAGAAGACACATGAAGGATTCTGATGGGAATTGGAATGCCCAACCGCCTCCATATGATCCAATAATTGCTGAAGGTACAATATATCGCATCAGATAACTTTTATTATTGGCCCATTGCCTTATGTTCTCGAAACTTCAGTTTTTATAGTGTTTAAGAATGCTACAATTGTCTGTTGGCCTATACTAAAATGGGATTTGAAGTGAACACAAATTTTTCCTCCTGAAATTATAACTTCATATATGCCAAGAGAGCTCATTCTACAATCAACCAATGCGTCTCATGAGGCTTCTATCTTGCCCTGTACTACGCATGAATTAAACCGATGTTTCATGATTAATTACCAGAACAGCCCAGCATGTTCAATCTTATTATGTGTTTGTCTGAGATTATGGTAAGATCTGCTTTAAAATGTAAATCTCTTTGCAATATAGTACTTCGTACGTTTAGGATTGGTGTGGTGGTGTTCTCCCTATGATATATCAGTCAGTAAGCAATCATAAGTTCTTCTGATAGCTCTTAATACTTGTTAATTTATTCTTAGGTTCATGACTAGCTGGACCATAATGCAATTTTTCTTGTCCTATTCCTGTAGATGGAACAGTGCATAACCTGAATGAGTACATGGAAATTCGCAGCGTTGATGCTGTACCTATTATAGAAGCTGATTTGGTAAATGCTGTAAAAAATGAACAGCTCGGCGTGGTGGTAAATGAAAAACAGATTGAAGAATTCTTCACTCTTCCTACATGAGCAATTACGTGGTGTGCCATTCCCTTCTGAAGCTTGTACGGTGTTTATTATGATGTATGTGTCTGTCGTGATAGACTTCTAGTTTTTGAAACATTCACATTTAGACTTGTTAATTCCTAAATCCGTCCGGATTTAAATGTCAGACTTGTCGCGTGCTAGTTCAAATTACACTTGACAATTAATACTGGAAGTACGGTGTGTTAACAGAGCTGCTACATTTTTTGGGAGAGGAGAGGACTGGTTGTGGAATTATTTGGTGTCTTTTTGGGACTTCCAAGATTTGTAATTGCAGTCATCTATGTAAGAGGAGCATCGGAAGCGTGATATACACATAGAGGAGTGTAGTTACAAATCCTGGGATGAATCAGTTTGCCTGAATAGAACCACTTCTGAGTTCTGACCGTCTTCTGGTAGCTGACTGAAAGTTAACTGTGTAATGTGTTAAATCAACTCTATGTTTCACTTTGTAACGCATGTTTTGGGTACAATTGAAAATTTTATTGTGATACTGATTACTTGAGAAATTCCACATGGAATCGGACATTTTGACATGTTACATGTATCCTCTCATTTATGTTCGAAGCCTGTGTCTTAATCGTGCTGAGGTTATCCTACTGTTCTGTGAGAAATTAGAAGGCATCTTCCAGATGAACATAAATATGAAGATGAATATTCGTACATAGGCGCTTTCGTTGAGTACCTCTTTTGTATTGCTTTGTGTGTACAATTTTGGCGTAATCACATGTTGACATGTTCTTATCACAGTTTGTTTGGACATCATCAGATGAGGGAGTAGGACATGGGGTGTTAGTTAATTGATTGCCTTACTTGTCAAGTTTTTGAATGAAAATGATTTTCTTCCTATCACAGTTTGATTGCGTGCTTATTTAATTGATTGCCTTATTTTAAACAAGTAAATTATTTATAAAAAATTAAGATTTTTTTTTTTTTTTTTTTTTTTTTTTTTTTTTTTTTTTTTTTTTTTAACAACAATAAAGGTAACATTAGCATAATTGGATGTTTGACAATTTCCTCAATAAAAAAAATTTATATGTTTGAAATTCAACTAGTTTTATCCTGAATGATGGCAAGAGTTTCTTTCAATGTGAATGTTACCATATTCGAGAGGATGCAAATAGGTCAACTGAGTAGTGCTAGTATGACATTATTGATGACGGATATAGTAGAAGATGCAGAGCGATATCAAAAAATAGTCGTAGACTCATAGTAGATTACTTTTTTTTTTTGGTGTTTAGAGAACCACAAGGACGGAGATGAGAATCGATCCCAAGAATCCCTGAAACTAGGAGGGAGCTCTAACCACGTGAGCTATCCCCCACTATCTCATAGTAGATTACTTCATAGTAGAATGAGGAGTTTTAAAAAATGTGTAATATGTAATGATGTGTCTACTTGTATTATCTTATCTCTTTATTTTGGTCATTGGCGATATTAATTTGCGACAAAAGTATTAGTGTTTTTTTTTTTTTTTTTTTTTTTTGACAAGACAAAAGTTTTAGTTTATCCATTGAACTAATCGTCAAAGGGTTTTTTTTTAGTAGAGAGAGCCACAAGGATAATGATATAAACGAAATTCGATCTCATGTTTTAGATACCAAGATTTTAATCATTAAATTAGTTGATGTCCACTTTATAATAGTAAAACAACCAATATTTACAATGAAAATTTGATATAAAGGATTAAAACAAGCAATATTATTCCATAGAGTAAGAATATGTTAGAATCCCTGATAATGTACGAGGTTAATTACCCAGTGCTACAGTAGCAAAGCCCTTGAACAAAGCGGGAAGCAAAAGGGAAGTTGATGATTGGGTGGAATGGTGGGGTCAATCCAGGCAAGCAAAGTAGTTGGTGCTTGGGTCCTCCTATAGTCCTACTTTTAGAAAGTCCAGCTAAATGGTTCAACAGAATGTTCTCTATTTTCCCTTTTTTGCTTCCTGTGGTTCACGTTCACCGGTTCCGCCGCATTTAGCCGTATATTTTTCTTTTTAACAATTGTTTAAATAAATACTCTATTCGTTTCAAAATAATGGTTTATGGTTACAAATATCTTTATATAAAAAATACCGGTATAGTAATAAAATATTGATGGTTCCATACTAATAAGTAGAAATTATTGTAAGTATTCATGAACTTACGAAATATGCTAGTGTTGTAAGTATTTAGGAAGAGAGTATTATGTAAAATGTTATTTTAGTTATATATATTGATATGTAATTGTAAAATATCAATTTTTTATAATTACTACTTAAAAATTTACATTAAAGTAATTGATTTTTTTTTGTGCAAATATTAAAGTAATTGATGTAAGATTTAAAGTTACAATTAACAAAGATAAGGGAAAAAATGCTGAGTAATTAAAACATTTAAAACATCCTTTATGACTGACTCCCCTTGTGATTTATGTAATTAAAACATTGGATAAGAATTAAAATTGCATTAATGTTTTTGTTTTAGGAAAAAATTGCATTATTGTAAATAAGGTAAGACTTTAGTTCACCTTGTTTTTATTTAATTTGATATGAATTCATTTTTTCTTATCTAAGCAGATGCTTAATTTTTTTTTAATCTGATTTGATATGATTGCTTGATTTGATATGATTGGACTAAATTTTGATCTCCTATGTATGCTAATTCATATGGACAAAATATGATTACAATTAACAACCTTAATCCAACCATTTGATTGATATTACCTTAAGTAATAGTACAACGTATGATGCGTATTAGTCCTATTTAAGAAAATTAAGGATTCCTCCCTCTATTCGAAAGATTGTTACGTTTGATGATTTTACGCAGTTACTAAAGAAAATAATATATTGGAAAACAATGAGCAAATGTCACATATCAAGTGGGATTAAGGGCTAAATACAAGTTTCTCAATTGTATGTTTCTCAAAGGGGCGCTCCCTGTCATCAGAGGAAAATTTGTGGGCATTTATGTCATTTCAATTTTTTCTTCTAGTTAGACAACGTTACCTGTGAAGGTGTACATGTTAGTAGTGGTAGAGTTTATACCCAGAAGTTGCGGATACAGGTATTTCTATTTCATTCGAAGAGCATCAGTGGAGGGACATAACACCCTTTATTTTTTTTTTCTTTGTTCTTAGCGTTTTCGTTTATTTAGGTGGTGAAGTCGTCGGAAATGCAGTGGACATATTTGTGGAGATGAAATGTTTTGGAAATGGGCCGGAGGTGATGGTGGAAGATGGGTCAGGATGAAGATGATGTAGGTGGACAAAAACTCAAGCTCCTTCAACGAATTTTTGCTATCGGAAGAGGAGGAAGAAGAAGAGCGAAGGTGGATGGAAAATTAACAGTGTTAATTCAGCAAAAATTATAAAATATTGTAAATGTACACTTATTTACATTTATGTCATTTGAGAAAATGAGGCTCCTTTGGGATTAAGTCAACATTGGAAATATGAATATTTACGTTGGAACTAGTTAAATATTTTTGTAAATAGAATTAGTTGCTTTAGGAGTAGGTAAATATTTTGAAAAATAATAGTTAAAGCCTTGTTTAGTTCAACTTATTTTAGAAAAAAATAAGTTCAGATTAGATCAGATCAGAAAAAATAAGTTCAGTTCAGATCAGATCAGATAAGAAAAAATAAGTTCAGATCAAAACATCGTTTTATGTGCGGTTTTTTATCGCTAAATATCTTTACTTACGTAATGAAAAAAATTATAAAAATTACATATAAATAAAATACATATTCATACAAATCTAACAAGATCCCATTTGATATATTTCTTCTTTATAGATTATCGTATATATAGGGTCAAAGTTTAGTCAGATTAAATCAGACCAGACTAAACAAGATCAGACCAGACCAGATTAGATCAAACCACATCAAATAAGCAAAAATAAGGTGAATTAAACAAACCCTTACATTAAAAGCAAGTAAGTATGAAAGAAAATGTGTTCGACAATAATTTAAATGCACTCGTAACCAATATCCAAAATGACAATCGTAACCATGTTTTAAGAACGGAGGGAATAAAATAACAAGTACTAGTACTACACTACTACCCCGTATAACGTTTGTTGAGTCTACAAGTCAAGTCCAAAGTAGTCAAAAACTCCAAAGAAAAGCAAAGAATACAAAATTCCGGCACCCAAATCGCCTAACCCGACAAAACCGGTACCACCGGCCCACCGTCACAGTCACCCCTCGTCTTCCTCATTTAATTTTATAACACACCAGCCTGTCTTAACAACTAACCCCTCATTTTTCCACTTTATTACCAAATTACCCCTCCATCTTTCTTTCCATTTTCATCATCAATCTTCTTCTTTCTTTCTTTCTCTCTCTGCAAATCTCAACATCAAAAGTTCTAAATTTTAAACCATCAATAATATTTATAATAAAATAGTAAAAAGAAAAAAAAAAGGAAGCAATTATTCAAATCTCCTTTTTTTTTTCTTTTTTTTTTTTGGTATATCCCATACCCCACCTATTTTTCCATAAAAATTGCCAGCTCCAAAGGACATTTTCTCTCTCCTCTCCTCCCTTTTTCTCTCTCCTCCTGCAATTTTCGTGCTCATTTTCGCCTTTTTTCTGTTCATCATCATCATCATCAAGCCTCGAGATCGTTGATTTGTTGATTTAGGTTTGATTTTGATTGTTTTGGTTTAATTCTAGCTTTAGTTAGATCTTTCTGATGATTTGTTTGAGTTTTTTTTGTTGATTTTTGATTGGTTTTGCTTTTTTTCGATTGATCTGAGGTTTTAATTTGAATTTGTTTGGATGTTTTTGATTATTTGTGTTTGATTTGTAGCTTTATTGTTGTTAATTCATGCGTGAATTTGATTAATTTGTTTATTGAATTTGATTTGATCAACTTTGAAAATGAGAAGAAATGGCAAATTACAGTGTTGGTTTTTGAGAATTTCTATTGCATGATTAAGGAAGAAGCTCCTAATACAAGTAGAAGTTGAATTTTTGATTTTTCCTTTTGGTGGGAAAATTATTGATTGTTTGAAGTTAAAATTTTGAAGAATGTACCTATGAATGTATATCTGTCCTCTGAAGGCTCTGATGTTTAATTTTAGCTTTCTTATTATTTTCGCTTGTTTGTAAGCCGTATTTTCGACTTTTCGGGTTCTGCAGTATTGCTATTTGGTTGCTTTGATTTATTACTTGAAAGTACAAGTGTAAGAACTATTTCCTGCTTTAACTGGTTAAGAAATCGGCGATGTCAAGCACTACGAAGGCTACTGATCCTGCTTTCCAAGGAGCAGGGCAGAAACCGTATCCTTTTTTTGTCATATACTTGTATATATACATAGATGTCAAGTTTGGGGTTTAAGTGGCCGGGAAGTGAAAATGAGAATTAGTTTTAGAATGATGATTGGTTTCTAATGCTTTTTCAATGCCTATTCCCTCAATTCTTTGTTTTATGACAAGCCAACGAGGCTGAGGCTGCACAGTTCTCGAATCACTATGCCTTTTGGGAATTGAACTTGACGCTTGAAATTCTGGGAGGTATACATGCCATACATTCTAAATGCATAGACCTATTGCTTGA